CTTGTAAACGCTGAGCGCACTTACTTTAATCCGATTTCGTTTTGCAAAACATCTACGCCTGACGCGTTGACTTGTTTGGCACTACTGGCACTACTCCCAACATCAATACCGTAATTATATTTTATGTTCTCATAGTAAGCGAATTTTAAAATTTTTAATGAGAATAAGGATCTTAAACCATACAATACCACCGTTGACCTCATGACTCTTAGCGCTCTTTCACATTGGGGCGTTAGAAACGCTACAGCAGCGCGGCAGCGGCGTTTTTGTAATCTGAAGGCATGCATCCGCTATCACATAGTACATATGAAATTTTCGGCAGCGCGTCTGTCGCGCGTTTGTCGCGCTGCTAAAGTCGCCTAAGACTAGGCGCAGACCACCGATTTTTAGTTGGCCGATAGTTGTGCCCGATTTTAAATTGTATGAAGAATCGATCAAATCGAATCGGTGTAATGTGCGCGATTCCATACATGCCCATACTGATCAACTGCCCGACTAAACTATCGGCCGACGAAAAATCGATGGTTTGCGCCTAGGTTTAATGTGAAAGCGCTCTAAAGCTCTTATCTCTGGGCTCCAGAGGTTTAGGCAGAGGTGCCTCGTCGTCTGACATATAACCTACATGTTGAGACCGACCAGATATCGAATCCCGATCGAAGCACCATCTCGAGCAACGACATCAAATTCCAATTTCCTATCGATAACCCACTTCCTTCGCCTCTTATTTGCATAGAAGAAAAGCTTGATCGGAATGGCATATTTTATCTGCAATATTCATAGTTCATAGTCTTCGCGTGGCAGCTCTCAATCTTCTATTTGAATAGCCTTTTGTTCTCGCTTATAGGTATTTTTAGATATTCATCTAAAAATATATTCAATTAAAATTAATATTTCTGGGAATTAATATGATTAAATATCGCCCTCGGACTAGCCAACCCAACGTTTGTTTGTCAAGCATTAGGAAGATAAAAGAAAAATTACCTGTTTTCTGAATATTTTTGTGAAATCGTTATCATATGAAAATTTGCTATATTGATTGATCCAGCCGTTCTCAAGTTTTGTGCTTGGCTTATAAAGATAGTAATTTACCCTAGCTTGTGTACAAAGTGTACTTTAAAACATCCATGGCTGTTTGAAGATAACAGTACCTACCTTCATTTTTGTATTTTCACATTCACATAGGTGAATTGTATTTAAATTCCTGAGAGAAATAAAGATTCTTTAAACCTATATTTTGACAAAGTTATGGATCTAATTTACCACATGTTACCCACATGTACCTGCTTCGATATTAGATAATACCTGACCTAATTATCTTACGTGAAATATCCATTTGCTGACCACATAAATTGTCGGTGGTGGATTGCTCTGTTTGTGGACATGCTGACCTCAATTTAGGCCTTTGCCACTGTAACCCGGCTCACTACCGGCTCTGACCGGGTCGGGAATACTGAGGGATGTTATGGATATCCGTAACCGTAACCGAAACTTTCGGATATCCGAAATAAAAAAATATCCGTAACCGATTCAAAAGTTTCGGATAAAGGCGGAGTCTAAATCTTAAAATTTACTTGTCTGGCATACTCTAGCACCATTCTGATATACCTGCCATCATAGTAAATAAAACGGCTAAGTATGTGGGTCGCGAAGCATCTTGCTATTTGAATTTTACCTTTTTAAAATTCTAATATCCATAAGCGAAATTATCCGAAACTTTTGGTAATATTCCTATATCCGTAACCGTATCCATAACCGAAACTACATATCCATAACAACCCTACTTGATATTGCCGGTGACCGGATGCGGCACTCGAATACGGATGATTGACGTTGCTCGCCGAGTTTTGAACAACACGCCTTTCAGTGGAATTGAAATAGTTTTTTTTAAGTTTACTTTGTAGCTCGTAGCGATATAGGTCGCAATAATAAAACTGAACTTTTAATATTTCTATCTGCGACGATTATTCTATATTCGTGCATACTCAAGTTGGGTACTTCACTCTGTCTGTATGTATGTTTCCAGTATTGAACGACGTTCTAGCGCAAAAATAACGCCAAAAATTTGTCGTAACTTTTCATGTGACTTCTAAAGGCATTTAGTATTACCTATACTAGCTTTTGCCCGCGGCTTCACCCGCGTGAAATTTAGTTTGTCACAGATCATTATAGCCTATATTATGATATTCTGGGTTATAAACATTAATACTGTAAAGTTTCGTCAAAATCCGTTCAGTAGTTTTTGCGTGAAAGAGTAACAAACATCCAGACATCATGACATCCAAACTTTCGCATTTATTAGTAGGATTAAAAGTTTTATTTACACGGTTGAAGCCGCTGAAGCTAATCTATTAATTTTGATAAAACGCCCTTCGAATAAATGGAAGTCGAATTTTGATTTAATTTCATTCCTATTTATATTTCCTCGAAGAATATTTATTTATATGACTTAGGCCTGATTCGACCAACTGGCACATTGACAGTTTCAGTATGGGAAATTATGTCATAACTGGGGATTTATTCTGAGACTAGCGGCCGCCCGCGACTTCGTACGCGTGAATCCCGTTTTTCCCGCTAATTCCCGTTCCCGTGGGAATTTCGGGAATTCCTTTCTTAGTGCACCTCTACGGTACCTAAGCTACGTCCCTTCCAAATTTCAAGTGCATACGTTTAGCCGTTTAGGCTGTGCGTTGATCTGTCAGTCAGTCAGTCAGTTTCTCCTTTTATATATTTAGATTTACTCTTGTTTGGTCGAATCCTTCCTTAGATGTTTACTTAGTAAGTTAAAACAACATCATAACAAGAATTATGAATAATATTATTATTCTTATTTTATACCAAGCCATTCGTAAATAACATGTATTTAACAAGAATTCAATACTTAAATCATTAGAAAGCTAAAATGGGGGTAATTTGCAAAATTTTACTCAATAGTGCATGGAAAATTCTAGAACGTTTTAACTTTAATTGTATAGGGTTGTAACAAAACAAGAAAAGTTAAATTTTGTAGAGTGATACCAAAACTTGATTGTAGCAATGGAATCTCTAATTTTTAAACGAAAAAAGGAGCGTAGGTAATTTTTTTTTAATATTACTTTTTTAAATTATTTTTAACTGGGACCGACACTGAGATAATATCAAATTGTAATAAATAAGTGTAGTAAAAGTAATTAAATAATAAATACGCTTTTTTACTTGCACCTTTTTGGTGTCAGTTTTAAATTTTGTTTTTTATAATTAGTTTTTGAAAACGTTTCATTTAAAGACATCATTGTATGAACGAGTATTACAGACGACAGCACATCAAGCGGAACACAGTGGGCCCTTATCTGGTTGTAATACGGGCTAGTGCACCTCTAAGTAAACACTGTGCGGTCTTATGCAGTTGTAATACGGGCGAATTTGCAATAAAAATCGGTAGTCTGTACCTATCTAATGCCTGGTAGATGCAGTGGAAGATTTGCATTGCCGCAGTAGGTGGAGGCTCGAGTGTCGTGCAGGAGTCAATTGTCGGGAACTCGGGAGTTAAAACCGACAATTACTGGTACAGTCGGTGGAAGAGAGTTTTCAGTTTACTGGCCCTTATTTCTATGAGAATAGCGCGCAAGTCGGTCGTCCGCTGTCGCGGTGACTATCGGAAGCACGCGGCGCCTTTGACAGCGCGTGGAAATGTGCACGCACAGGGCTATCCAGTTTGTCCCAACAGTCTATCCAGCAATGTTATTATAAAAAATTTTTCGGGATATTCCTGTTAAAACCTTGTTGACCAAATTACACCTAATTTCTGTTTTTTTTTTCTTTTTTTAGGTCATTTTTTTTTTACATTTTGTACTCATATTTTCATAGAAAGTCCCGAGTTTTTTTCTCTTTTAATTACGCTACCAATGGTCCTACGATGATTGAATCAAAAATAAAAAATATTAAAAAGACGTTTCTCGAAAATTAAGACAATTTTACGCCTAATTAGGTTAAAAATATGCATAATCTGTCTTATTATTTAAATAAGGATAATTTAAAATTAGTATAGATCTTTGTTTACCATCAAAAGTTACGTCACTGCAAACAATCAAAACAGTTCATTTTCCTTAACAATAAATTGTTTTTAAATACCTTAAATAAGCGAGTGTGTGTTTGTTATTGCAAATATGCATCAACGGCGTAAGAATGTATCATTAGAGGCCAGTTCATAATCAGATTTGTACAATGCAGTCGATAGTTACTTAATAATCCATAAGTGCCTTAAAACATTTCGCTCCAATTGAATCCAGACGCGCCTATTGGTGAGTAAGTTTAATAATATTTTCAGTTTTTATATTCAGATAAACCAGAAAATCTAAGTGAGTTCAGATTCCCTCAGGTTCCTTAAACTAAACTCAAAATTAAGTGATGATGGAATGATGTTTGTTACTCCTTCACACAAAACAACTGGATGGATTTGGATGAAACATTACTGTGCTGAGGTTATACATTAGGGTAACTCGAAGGCTTAATAATTTAATTTACACGTCTGAATTCTCAATTCTTATATGTTGCGTCTTGAATAAATTAATTTTAACTATCACAGTTCTTATTGATGCACTTATATCATCAGACACCCTGTATAGTAAATACTGCGACTACAAAGACTTCTCATGGCGGCCTAGTTATTGTCGCTCGCTAGATATCTTTAAAAGATCCAATCTGCGAGTACATAGAGTATTATTACCAAGTTGCACACAATAGCACAAATTGATAACTATCTTTACATTGACATGCCTGCTATTGTACAGCGTAATGTCAAGAAAATTGTAAATTTTCCTTTCATAAATGATAATTGTTAAAAAATTACAAAGGTTGTAAAGTATATTATACAGATTGAATTTAAAATTAGTGCGGAGTAACCTTTAAACCTAGCATTCATCTGTACTGCAAATTTATAACATAGGCCGTGGCAGCCCTATGCATATTATGGATAGGTACACCTATAGCTACCCGCGCGGGTACGCACGCGGTCGGGCCGCGGCCTGCCACTTGCCTTCAGGCGCTCGACGGCGGCGGACGTCGGGCTGCCTCCGCACGACAGAAGTCCACGTGAATACATTATATTTTTAACGCAACTTTTAAAATCTCAGAAAGCAGCCAGGTCCTAAGTTTATGCGCCGGAGCCACTGCACGTATGTATTTTGAATATCTTGAATATTTTAATATTTGGGTCTTCTTGCATTGACAAAATCTTATAAACATTTGTGTTTCTGTATCAAAACCAAAATTGTTCACTTTTTATAAGAAAACTGGTTAGTGTTACCGAGGTATTATGGTAGAAATAGTAAAATTTTTACATGTAGAATTTTTTCGTCAGAACAGGGTAGTTGAATTTTTTTGCGTTCTGGTACGGACGAGGCGAATGATAAGTGTTTTTCTGTATCAAACCCGAAATTGTTCACTTTTATAAGAAAACTTATTACTGTGGTATTTTGGTAAAAATAACGAGATTGGAAATTTTGGTAAAAAAATAATTCTCGTCAAAAGAGGGTAGTTGAATTTTTAGTCTCTGGTACGGACGGGGTGAACGCGGGGAGGTGCAGCTAAGTGGGGAGAGAGTCGCATACCAGGAGGTTCACACTATGGCACAGTCAGTTCTATCGCGTTGTGATTTGCGGCCACGTGGACAACACGTTCTGTCCAATTTTTTTAATAGCTTGTGTTTTATTTTATTCACTCAGTGTTTTTTTTTATTAAAAAATGCTATGCTTTACAATAAACGAGTGCCTAATAATTATCAATGTAATATGTAAACGCAACGTGGCTAGTTTCAATTTACACGATTGGCTAGTGATTAATTTGCCAATTCGTATTTTTAAATCGTAACGAACTTAGACCGAGCTATAATCATCAATAAGTCATATAATAATCAATTTAATAAATTTTAATAATCAACAAACAAATTATAAGGAAAATCTTAATTATACGTATTACTTGATCTTAGCAATTTAAATTATTTTAACCACGAACGAGGATCCAGCTGAAGGTAAATGTATTTAAATTCTAATTCAAAAGTTACGAGTAAGTTGGTTGTTTACCGAATTAGCAGCATCGTTCACTGAACATTTTTTCCGATTGTCTAGAAAAGAGGTAAGGTAGTAAGACAGGATAATAGCCCGTGAGATTTAAATTGCTAGGATGAATCCCCGTAATGTCTTGACTACCGTCAAAAGAAAAAAAAGTCCGCGAAAAATCATCTTTTCAGTACCTAGGAAGGTACCATTTTATATGTAACGGTTTTTTTTAACAGATACTGTTACTGCGGGTGTTTTAAATTAATTCCAGCAGTCGATTGGTATAATAAGTAATTTGACAAGTTTTTGCTTAATATTGCCATTAAATATTATAATTTAAAATTAAAACCTAAAAATGTTAATTATTGCTTTTAAAATTTCCACGTGTTCAAATTCCAGATGCCATAGTTCCACGTTGGCATATCCATCAGAGGCATTTTTAGTTACATCTTCGTAGTATCACCTAACATTTTTACATTTCAACGATAAATTCCCATTTTACTTTATAAAACGATGGTCAACGTACCCGAAATTTAAAATATGGTGTCTAACATGGGCGTACCATGCTTCTAGGCCGAAAGGGAAAGGGCAGTCTGATGCAGGGGGTATATCTTAATTTTTAGGCAGGATCCCTCCTATAAGCTCCTCGGTACGCCCGTGATATCTAACAATGCATCTGTTTGCCAAAGTTACAATCTTTTTTATGCAGAACAATTCAGGTACCTACTTGAAGGCAATCGCACCTGATGTTATTTAAAGATAGCCTTTCGAACTAAGCGTCACAGACGCAGCGTCTTTAGCTTTGGTCTTGTGCTACCAACGCCGCGTCACTAACTCGCTTCCAAAGGCTACCTTAAAGACCAAAGTTAAAGACGCTGCGTCTGTGACGCTTAGTTCGAAAGGCTACCTTAAGCGAGATGCTGTCTAGGATGCCCTTCTTTTCAAAAATATTATTGGCAGTTAGCAATAGCTCACAAGATAGCCCCCCTTAATTTGTTGTGATCCGTGAAAATGTTTATTGTCCGTCATGCATATCTTTTCATAAAGGTTTACTAGACCTTTGTTTGTCACCTGTCATCCGCTTTGCAACGGAGGGAAGTCGCACCTTAACTTCGAACTCCTCCTATGTTCTTCTGATTAATTTTGTTGCGGGTCCAATGACAGTTAACTTTCCACCGGGACAAACTTGACCTTCACTGGTTGGGTTTTTATTGGCGGTCAAGCTGTAGATCCTGGCTACACAGGAGTTGCAGCGGTGGGAAAGAGAGGTGAGTGATTCTTTTCTGTGTCTAATTCCTGGTGTTGTCCACAGGGCTTCTTCCGCAGAAGCATCCAGAAGCAGATCGAGTACCGCTGCTTGCGGGACGGCAAGTGTCTCGTCATCCGGCTGAACAGGAACCGCTGCCAGTTCTGCCGCTTCAAAAAGTGCCTTTCGGTTGGCATGAGCAGGGACTGTGAGTATTTCTTTAATTACTTTAATATTTCATTAGATATTTTTTTTATCCACAACGAGGAAGCTCTTGGCCTGTATCTCACCTGATGGTAAGTAATGATCAGGCTGAAGGTGGAAGCGAGCTTCATCCGGAGCTCCATCCATGTATTATGCGTTTCATCTAAGTTACACCTATTTCACTCAAAGTCCAGTGTGAACATTTTTTTTTTCAATATTCTCGTAACTACATTGAAACAGGAAGCCTATAATTTCCCCCGGGAATAAATTGGCCAGTCCAGTATTGACGAGCCACGCAAACTTGATTGATCTCATATCGTTTGGGGGCTTTTACGCACTGTGGAGTTGCCTCCACATGAGCACAAAAACGTTCCCGGATTCGGTTCTCAGTCTGAGCAGTTGTATTTTATTATTAAGGGGACAAATCGATAAATGAATATAGAATTCTGCAACGCCTTTACGGGGCTTTATCAAATCATGGAATACAGTTTTGGAACACCACTCACCTAAATTTCAAATTTTTCAATTCATAATAAACATGGCTGCCTGGGTTATAATTAAATTAATTGAATAAAAAGGCTTGCGTGTAAATCCTTAGGAAATCTTAAAATATACCTTGCTGACCTGGATCCTTCAGCTCTTATAGCATGCTAACTGCCTACCATTAACTAAAAGTATAGTGTTTGCACTGTTCATTTAGATAAATACATGTGCTAATAAAAAGCCATGGTTTAACATTCGCATGTAAGCAGACACGAGGGGAAATAGAAGACTCGTGCGCACGTAATATTAGGATTACTGATATGTAATTTACAATAGGTGGTTAAGGTTATATGCTTTGGCTTTTGCATTTCAATATTGATTACGCCTCGGGTTCGAATCCCGACAGAGTTATAAATTATATTTTCTTATGTTTTTTTTTTAAATGAATGCACAGTAAAACAGGAAATGGCTACTTCGTTTACCCATAGCCACGTGAAGTTTTTTAAACATTTTTTTGTCCTGAGCAATATTTTTTGAAATAAATTGTAAGTTGATGTTTTTTAAATAAGCTTATCTAGAAAGTAACATATTTATCGCGGCTTTCGCTAAAATAGACAGGATGTTAAGTACTTTACTTGTGCAGTCTTACATTAAAATTATGTTAGCAGAAAGTTAATCTTCCCAATTGGCTCGAAATGATATACCTATGTTAGCTGTTGGGAATCCATACCCTTCCCAGAGGAAGTAACGGAACCGTAACCTATTATTCCTCTGGGTACACGAGTACTTGTGTGAGCTGGTGTGAGGATCCTTGGCCCACTGCGACTGATATAATAATGCGGTGCATCGCTGCTATTAGATCAACGCCCGATGCACCGGCAACCTATTTTCCAATTGAGGCCCTACTGCAGGTCTCACGACCCAATTCGTCAACAAACGCAGCCGATGCACTGGCCTAGATCCAGGCACGGCTTGTCGGCTGCCAGATTGATTCGTCATTGGAGTTAATCCATTTATCAACGACACACCGTTGGCCATTTGTGAATAAAGGCTTTGAAATTAACAATTACAATAAGACTAATTTAAGAATTATAATTAGTTGTTTTCATCCATCATTGTTAGGTCTTTCGTTTAAAATGTATAAGCTATAATAATATTATCTAATTTTATAGTTCATTCTAGTCCTTTGATTTACATCAACAATTTTTTTTACAAAAGTCGTTTATTTTGAATATTTCTGATAGTTAGGATTTCTGATCTTAGATTTTACACTTCTACCTGAAGGCTTACGGTCAATCCAAATGTAATTCAAATTCAAATTTTTTATTGCATTACTTATTTAAATTTAATATGATTTTAATTTAGGGGCCACCCTATAACCTTTATTTCTATCGACTCTGACTTTAATCACAACGATGCATCAGCACATTCATCCGGGCCCTAGCCTCGATTGTTGATCAACTCACTTCTCCTCCACAGCCGTCCGATATGGTCGCGTCCCGAAGCGCTCTCGTGAAGTAGTGAATGCGGAGAACATACCAGATATCGCCCGGAATCTAACTGCAGCCGGCATCGTGATTCCTCTACCGGAAATGGAGGCCATGGACCCCGAGTCCTTGCGACAAGGGGTGGCCGAGGAACTGATGAGGCTGGTGGGCACGGCCCACCGGTGCAATAATACGTACACAGACGAGCTGCGGCGCACCATAAAGCGCCACGCTCTGGTCGTGAAAGAAGACTCTGACAATGAACGTGAGTATTTACCGTTACCATTTAGGCTCATGAATGTCCTTTCTGTTCTCTTAGGCCCAGAACACACGGTGACCAGTTCAAATCGGTTTCAAACTGGTCGCGTCATGTGTGGTCTCTCAACGGACGCTATGGCAGAAACTTAGATGCAACTCAAAAGTTACTAGAAGTTGCAGTATCGTTGCAGTGCGTTTCACCGTGTGTTCTGGGCCTTATTCGGCCAATTTCAAGCTTCTTTCGTAGACTACCTACTTACTTCAGAAATGTTCCTATTAAAATTATAACATGCTTACAATTGATTTGAGTAGATTATTTTCTATGACCTTATTCCTAAGTTTTAAATAACTGAAGATAGAACTCATGCGCATGTCCCTATTCCTGTGCTTCTGGCTGTGTATGTGCAAGATTGGAACTTTGACCTTCTCCCTCTGTCCTTTTGTGTATGTAAGCATTTGCGATTGTGTAACTTTATACGTTTTAGGATTACTTAGTAGGTACCTTTAGGCTGTGCAGCTGTGTCTCATTTTATTTCATATCTACCTTAACCTTCTCCTGGTACATGTTATAACTATGTTTTTGGGTATTATGATTTTAAGGGTTAATTACGTAACTTTCAAGTTCAAAAATTACCCTTGCTCGTACGAGTATTATAATTAGTAAAAATCTGAATTCTCCCTATTATGGGAGTATAGAGCATCACGCAGACGCAGCAATATCATTATTCGAGTTTGTTTCTACCTTGGGGTCCTCGCTTGCGAATAGAATATCGCCCTACCGTCACTAAGTGTGCGGTGTCTGTGCAGCGAGCAGCACGCAAGAGGCGGCGGCCTCGTCCACGTCGGACCGCGTGAGCGACGCGCGCTCCACGCTGTGGTTCAACGTGGCTCTGCGAATGACCCCGGCCGTACAGCAGGTCGTGGAGTTCGCCAAGCGCCTGCCCGGCTTCAACACCCTGCCCCAGGATGACCAGCTGATCCTGATCAAGGTGAGGCTGATGCAGAGACTTTATCCAACGTTGCCTTTTGCAGATTGACTGTAGACTGTAACCTGTACCGTGTAAGATACTTTTGGACGTGCTTTTTTAAGGTTAAATAGCAGCTCTCAAGGAACCAAATGGCAACATTGGATTGTTTTAATGTTCAAGATTTTATACATTAATTTAATTAGTTAAAGATCTTTGCCATTGCGAATCACCATGTGCATGCCATGGCGAATTCAGCAGATGCCTATAATGATGCGCATGTGACCAGTTACGACGGAACCTGCCAGTTTTATTTTGTCCGCAGCTAGGGTTCTTCGAGGTGTGGATCACCAGGGTCACCAGGCTGTCCAGCTCCGAATGCCTCGTCTTCGATGATGGAACCACGCTTAGCGTCAAACAATTGGAAATCATCTATAGCGTAAGTATATCCAAGTTTTTCAAATTCAGCTCATGTTGAGAATTACATTTTACGTTTTCCCATCTTAACATGATATTTTCATTCCAGCCTACATTTACTCGAGCAATGCTGAACTATGTCAGTACTATGCTCAAGATCGATAGTACTGAAGACGAAATCGCCATCTACACTGGATCATTGTTGCTGTGCCCCTACCGCGCTGGGCTGGCCGAGAGCGAGAAAATAGACACACTCAACCGCGCTCTTGGAGACGCACTTCATCTGGCCGTGAGTACCTACTTCTTGTTTTGTCACCCACCTGTCACCCGCTTTCTTAGGGAGGGTCGAACCATAAGTTCGAAGTCCTATTTTCTTCTGATTAATTTCGTAGCGGGTCTAATGACTGTTCAATCTTGGCCTTCACTGGTTGGGTGTTTATTGGTAATCAAGCTGTAGATCCTGGGAACATAGAAGTTGCAGCGGTGTGGGAACAAGAGGCGGGAATAGTCCCGTATCTTCGCCGAATGACCTGGAGCGTTAAATGTCACCGATTCTAGTAATCATCATCATCATCATTTAATTTTCAGCCACAGTAAAACTAGCATGAACAACTTTCGTCTTCAAATCGTTTGCGTATTCGACCAATTTCGATACTTACTCAACCTTTGAATTAAACGATAGCGTGGTAATTTTGATTCTCAAAATAAGTTTCGTGCAACCTTTTCTCATGCCTACTAAGTTCACTTTACGACACGTTCACAACTCACAAGGTTTCGCTGTTGTAGTTCGTACTAAATCTTTTAATGGCGATTCGAATACGCAAACGATTCGAACTCGAAATTTTTTCGTGCTAGCCGTACTGACTCTAACCACTGACGAACATACGCCTCCCCCAATGAATGATTTGCAATCGCCGGTTGGTTGCGGCCTGCATCCAGCGCCTTCCTGCTCTAGTTCTAGCTGAATGTAATCCGTCATCTCGTGTAATCCTTCGTCTCCAGATACAAGCCAGCGGCAGAGAGGTGTCCGGGCGCTGGGAGGCGTTCGCCAGCGCCGCCAACGAGGTGCGCGCGCTCGGGCTGCACCATCACGAGCTGCTCTCGTGGTGCCGCCAGCACTGGCCGCGCCTGGTGCTGCCGGCGCTTTTCGCAGAGATGTTCGACATCCCCAAGCACGAGGAGGAGCCCCCAGCCGACGGCGCCCGCGCCTCCGCCGCAAGCAGCGTCCTAAACTAAACTAGGTCTTTTTTTTTTCGATTTTTGTAGACTAATCAATGCTGGTAATTGTTAGGTAGGCGTGTTCAGGTAGTCGCTTTACATATGAACCGGGCGCTCCGGACTATTCCCACTAGTTTGATTTAAAGTAATCGCTGGTTCTCCGAACCATTCGGTGATCTGGCTGAGATTTAGTTTTTAAATTAGCCACGATTCATAATATGTATTGAAATTAACTCGCATTTAAAATTGCGCTTAATAAATGTTAGAAAATTATTATGATAGTTCAATGTAATTATGTAATGTTCTATGTTAGGATGTACAACACATTTTATCCATAAAATAATAATAAAAAAATATAATTATACAGCTAAATTAAACTACTAGTGATAGATCGTGATTCATAATTAAAGCTAGCTATCTGATGCCCTTTTTTCTTTGTTTATGTTTTTATACTAGTTTATTTCTCATGTGGTGGACCCAATTTTTTACATATTCAATTTTATTTTAACGAGTTAATTCACCTTGGTCCTTGCCAATAATATACTTTATTTTTAAAGTGCACTCCTGCGCATCCCTGTTGGATCGCCAACATGGCGTAGGGAGGCGACCGTCGCGCGCGTGTAACGGGCACCGGGTTAATGGGCGCGTGTAATGCGTTTAGCCGTAGGCCTAGTTACTAATGTATGATAATACGATATAATAGCTACCTTTCATATAGATGCTAATTACTTGCGGGCTTATCACTATCATCCAAGTATTACTCGTATTTGTCACTAGGTTAAAATTAAAGTATATTGTCACTGTAAGCACCCAGGAGAATTTAGTTGACTGCCGGTCTACTCTGCAATACGTTTCGATGAAGCAAGATCTGAACGTTTTGAGGGTTTTTGTCAACAGCTCGAAAGTGTATTTTAAATATAAGATTTTATTAGTTTAGATAATTTTGCTGTGGTGCCTAAGCATCTCAGATTAGTACCTAAAAATAATCAGGTGGTGGGATTGTTTCTTCTTTGTAGATTTATTATTAAAGATGGAGCCTAACATAGAGGCTACCGCGTTAGTAATAGTAGAGTAATAATATTCCTTTTCAGTGTTTACTGTTTAGTAAGGATAATAATCTCAAGTGTCCCTCTCTCCGCTCTGTCATATCGATACACACCAGCAGTTCACAAACCTCAAAGATTAGACCATATCAGAGTAGAGTATTTTAGCATTTTGAAGTCGACAAATGCACAAATGCTATCATCGCACAGTAGAAGCCAAGTAAACGGAGATTATGTACTCGATGGAATCTGTATCTTTTGGTAGATTAGTTTGTTAGTTTCTTATTTTAATATATACAATAAGGGAAGAAATGCGAGAAACGCGACTGCAGGAAGTTATGTACATGGGGATTAAGAGAAGGGTAGAGTCATTGCTCACTCACATGTTCCACGACGTCACTTTAGGTTTAGACAGTGGCTCCACACACCTGGCAGGTATGTTTGGTGTTAATCTATCGCCTAGTTTTAAAAATGCATTTATTCGTATCTTGGCTCGGTGTTCACCTATAATTGGGATTGTTCCTTTAGCTTAGCTACAACATAGTAGGTACAGTAGGAACAGTAGGTCCGCAATTTGCCAAATGCATTTACCTACAACATTGGAGTGAATTTAAGTTTAATTTTATGAAATAGTGTAGTGCCCATTGTCACTGATTGATACAAGTTAGTGAATAGGTCGCAATTTTTCGTAGTTTTAGGTTTTTCCGCTCTTGCTCTCTATAAAATCAAAATAGAAAACGGAAACAGTGAATTTTATTTAAGGGCATATAATATAACTGGCTGTGTTTAAATTTATGTTTCTTGTTCTTTAAGTTTTAACTCTAGGAAAAATCCCCGGTGATGTCCTCGAGGAGCAGAGCATCCCCGCGGCGATTTTACTGGACTTAGATTTAGTTTTATTGTTTAATGAATACGCGGGACTGCACACACGCGACTTATCACACAGATTCATGTAGCTAGGTTATGATTTACAGAAACTTGACTCGCACTATTAATAGTATTAAGGTTTAGATTCATTTTGCTCAATTTTCGGTGGCGTTTTCTTAGTTCCTTCCTCACCCTCACCTCGATCCGAATTTTAGAAAGATTTTACTTTTTTGCATTTATTCTAATCGCAGTAAGTAGCATGCTCGGGTGTGATAGTATTGTATAAATTTTTGTCTTTTTTTGCTTTATATAAGTTATAGTTTATAAAATGAAAATTTTATTAGAATAAATTAACATTATGATTTAGTTCATAATAAGCCCGTGATTTTATAGTTTGCAAGTAAATTGGTTTAGCGTATACCTACTTTATTTGCTTTTTAGCGTGGTCATATTGTAGCAGTCGTAAGATTTTCATATAAAACCAATTTACTTGCAACGGGCGACGGTGTGTTTAGATATAGTCATAATGTAAACTTTAGGTATTAATGGAAAATAAACTGCAACAAAAACTAGTGTTTCATTTCAAAAACGTGCATTAGCAAAATGTGGAAAAGTGGTAGCCCTATACAGCTAATGTAAAGTAATAATCCTATAAAAAGTACACTTACAAGTAATTCGATAGATAAATAAATAATTTTATTTATTAGACAGTAATCTAGAAATAATTAAGATTTTACAGAGTTAATTGAGATTAAGACTCTTTTTTTTCAAGTACATTTTACACGTGGACATTAGAGTATTCACAGAACTATAAACACTTCCGTTCATTGCGTAGGCACATGCAATTACAACTACCTACCGTACTAACGCTCACTAGTTGGCGCCACCAGTACCACGCGAGTAACTATTGTCGAAATAAAACTTGGTCTGAGATTTAAAACGAACCGTCCTACCCGTGACATTGACAGGGGGCGCCACCGTCAATACCGGATCGCTGATTTCCGTACCGATTTTTTCCCTCGTAAATTTATAGTTGAACGATGGTGGCGCCCTCCTGTCAATGAGTTTGGTGGGACGGTTTAGTGTTCTGTACCTCTATTACGAAATACTTTCGAGTTCGTTTCGTTTGCGTATTCAAAGTGCCATCGAAAAATTTTGTATGAAAAATTAAACAGCGCCCCCTATATTGTAGCCGCCCTAGGGGGCGCTGTTTAATTTTTCATACAAAATTTTTCGATGGCACTTTGAATACGTAAACGAAACGAACTCGAAAGTTTTTCGTAATAGAGGTACTGAGGGCTGTGTGTTTTTATCAAACGCGCTCACCAAAAAATGACATTAAATGTATGACGGATTGTACAGTGCCCCTAGCGGAAACGTTAAAGAACTAAAATATTCATATTTTTTTTAAGCTGAGCGCGTTTGATGTAAACTCACACTCAGCCCATAGTGTAGTTCATCAGAAATTCGTATTCACGTGTCATTTCGATAGAACGATTAGTCGATAGAATCGCAACTCAGCGATTTGCCAACAGAGAGCCACATTATTTGAAAGATGGCGACAGCTACTCTGTAATATCCTTAAGTAGGACGCAGGAAAAATAAAATACGGTAATAGTTTTAATGCTTATTTGTATTGCCACTTTCTTAATCACATGGAAGAAACAATAAGTATTAAACAAAATACTTCAAAAACTTACAATTTACGAAATTAAATAATTCATATTTTTTATCTTTGATAACAATAACAAAGCAAATAGCTAATTTCAATCATGTGAGAGGTCGCGTGCTTTACAATGCCTTCGCACGTCAATAAAATTGAATTAACAACACTAATAAATAAGGTGCTATGTTCACGGTACAGGTACATGTACAGGGCATGTCGGACCAACGAAGGGACAACACTATGCGTTCGCGAACTAAGCTCGTAATCAATTATTCTGTTCGTAGCGCAAACAAAGCTGGAGCCTCCCAAACGATATTTTTCATTTACAACTCGATGCTATTTGTCAAGGCTTTACATGCCCCCGTATCTATGTACTTACAGAAACAATATATGTAGAACATAACTTTGTTGGTCTGTAATGTGCTAAATACAGTAAGAGTATAACGTATTCACTTAGGTTCGTGTTACTTGCGCCGCGACGACTTAGCTCATGTCTTATAGTACGGCCAACGTAGCCTATACGAAATCATTAACAAATATTCAAGATCATAACACAGTGGAAAATGTCAATAGAGTAAAATATAAAGTGTATAATTGATAAATGAATTATAATTCGTTACCAACATATCAGCAGAAATAATTCATTTTTAACTGTCTGTGGTTTAAATAACCAACAGAAAAATTAACAGAATATTACAGAAATTAATTACGTGTGTACTGTAACGGCACACATTAAAACACACTTTTTGATTTAAAAAAGTTTCTAGTAAAGGTACTGTACGTGACTCGATAAGAAGGGATGAATCCATGTAATTCCAATATAGTTTTTTGTATCTTTTGTAACACGAAACAATTAATACACATTGATTTCGTTACTTATTAATATTTTAAATCGAAATGTGATGTCAAAAACTTATAAACTAAACAATTTGTACATAAATCATTCAATATAACAAATTAAATTTGGTATTTCAAAGAAATACGATATAATATAGGTACTTACAGTCGACAGTACATCGGAATACATTTAGTTGCGGAATGGCATCTGTTACAAGTACGTAAGGGCTCGTTCTCGTGACAATTCAGTTTTGCGGGATTCAGTAATGCAGCATCCTGCAAAACTGGACTGTCATGTGTGTATTTGAAATTCGAATTACAAATTCAAAAAAATCCGTTTTTTGCGGGACACTACAAACGGGATGTTCGTGTGAACTATAGTGTTAAAACACGTATACTACTAAACGGTATCCTGCAAAAACGGGAACAAGCCCTTACAACTACGTAAGACGCCATGGTGTTAAGCTAGATGCGCTGCCGTCTGTACACAAGCCAACCACAAGATGGCGGCCGCCGCGCGCGCATTCAACACGAGTGGCGCTGACAACAGATAAACGCCGGACTTTGGTCATTCCCTAGCGAGCGCTTCCTCTAATTAAGGGTCTGCTTAGTTCAATTCAATGGCTCTTTGTTCACGCTAACAATTTCGAAGCTAGAGATCAACTCTGAATAGAAACGTTTACATTTAAGAGGTCACAGTAAATGTTATATTTTAGGAGAGGACTACAAGTTCACACATACAGCCATTTACATGTTTTTTATAACTAAAAACAAGATAAGAGATGACTCAGTCTGTAATATTGAATTCTTAATGAGAATCGGTGTCCGGAGCTCTCTGTCGTCAGCACTCAAAGAGGAAATTTTACAAAACATAGACCATAATAATTTACTTAAATTAAACATGAATTTAGACACTATAATCGAATAATTAAAATTATACAACACCAAATTCTTTATTAGTTCACTAAGCACAAGTGTACAACTAAAACTGTACTGGTATTAACTAACAAAATAAAAATCAAGAGAATTATAAGTTTGTACAAGTTGATATTACGTAATGAGAATTATTTATGTATCTTATAGTAGTGCAATAAAACCAGGACCATGTTAGTGTGTGGGCTGTGGGCTTGCGGACGCCGGGCCGCATCGCATCGCAGCGTTGCGTCAGATGTAAAAATGTAAACTTACAAATCAGCTCAAATGATTCTGGAGAATACATCACAAACGAAGAACCATTGCAAATGTTACCTACATAGAGTTTAGTTCAGTATTCTTACTAATAAAGTCATCGTAAAGATACATCGTACGCCCACGCGAGCCCGACGTTGTATGGCCGAACCGGACTAGGGTCTAACAATGTAGGCTTTGTATGTGGTTTAAGATTATTATAAATGTAAAATATTTATTAAATAATAATCATAAAGAACTGAATTGTTAAGGACGCCTATTACTCGGTTGCCTAGTCTGACGTTTCCACAAACAAACCCTCCTCTGCCAGGCGCCAGCGTGTTTACGTATATAGTCTGGTCGCCGAGCACGTAGAATTTTGTCCAATGACCCCAAGCTACCCATCCTTATCGCTCGCGCGTAATTATATTGCTGTCGCGACTGTGCGACGGGCTCCCGCAGTGAGAGTGCGAGCGCAACAGCAACATAATTACGCGCGAGCGATAAGGATGGGTAGCTTGGGGTCATTGGACAAAATTCTACGTGCTCAGAGACCGGGCTTTAGCAAAGGACTCCGCAACTACACCCCCCTCCCTACTCACTACGGAACTTTGTACTTACGCTACCGGCAAGAAACACCGCTGAGGGGTCCGTACGCGACGAGATTTGACAACCGTATTACCATAGGAATAGAGAATATTCAAATGCAAGTCAACACGGGCAACTCTAAGCGTATTTCCAAATATCCTCACCTCGTCTTATGGCAATACCAATAGCGGATATGTATGTATGTTAACATTAGCATTAAATATATACATAAAAGGGTGACAGGAAGCAACTATTTAGCTAGTGAAGTCGTACCTATAGTCAAATCTCGTTCGCAGCAAATTAGTAAAGTAATTAATCATATTTTAGCACGAATGTGTTGACAAGCAAATGATACGACTACATTTTGAACCGAGTCTAACTTGATTTTTGGCACGACTTAATATTTGTGTTTACAAATTAGTTTGTCATCAGAAATGCTTGCTCGCGTGTATACAGCCAATTGCTTTTTTTCCTTTATTTATCAGCATAAGAATGACTTTTGTCCGTTACATTTCACATTAAAATATAATACTAAAGTTTCTTTTATAAATTATATTATATACAACTCGAAGAGATATATTAAAGGTAAATATTATTTAAAATTAATTTTCCGTATGATAGTTAAATTAATTTTGGACGGATTGCTATTGCATTAGAATTGATAGTTTACTACTGTTTTATATATTTTCATTTTATAATAACTATATCATTATGTATAATATAGAGGTAAAATAATATAATATACTTCACGTAGATAAGTTCCGCGGTGCAAGCATTCCTGACGACTTGTACAGCGATTCGTTAGTCAAGTTTCAATCGATGACTCTGGCAATCAATAATAGCAAAAGCTCTAAATTACTAGAGTTTGATTATGTTGATTTCAATAATATTGCTTCAATTAACTAACATAAAAATAATTAATTATAGTGGTGTTTTATTTTCAAATGTAAAAGTAATGAGACGTTCGCCGGAAACGATATATCGGTTAACAAATCAATATTTGATGTGCACTCATAATCTTCGATATAGTTCCGTAAAATGTATTGCCTCTGGAGACAATACTCATCTGTTATTTGTCAAACAACCGATATACCGTCACAGACTAGAAATTAGAGACGTGAAGCTCCCTCAGTGTATCCTAGATTCGTATTGCCATATTTGCCAGCCGTCCTCACAAACTTTTGTAAACTGTACGCAATTTGAAGAAATTAAAGATCGGTTCAGTCGAGTCACAGACAGCACCGACAGGTCGTCTGTCACCTTGCTGAAGCCATTTAGCGAATAAGACAGTACGGACATTATTATCATCACATCGCCGGCATGTGCCGCCGAGCAATCAATCGTGTAAGGCCCAGAACAGACGGTGAAACGCAACTGCAACGAAACTGCAACTGCTAGTTACTTTTGAGTTGCATCTAAGTTTCTGCTATAGCGTCCGTTGAGAGACCACACATGACGCGACCAGTGTGAAACTTTCAGAGTCAGTTTCATTCATAAGAATCATCAGAAAGTTGCAGTTTCGTTGCAGTTGCGTTTCACCGTCTGTTCTGGGTGTAATAGCGCCGTAGCGCTAAAAAAAAACGGTATCAACCCGTGTCTGCTTCGCATCCTCCTTATACCAACTTTAAGCACAATTTGATTGTCATAATGGGATCTACGCAAAACAATAATACATACAATATATAAACTGCTAAATCAATGTGAAATGCGAACACTAATACTCTAAAACATGTCGCGCATAAACGCGGCGCGCCCGAACCTCTGCGGTCAGTCTACTCCAGTTTACACCTCTACTTTAAATATAGAAATACCATCACTTGATCTTTATCTACAAACAAACCTCTTAACGGTTATTAAGTCAACGAATCGTCCTTTCCATAGATTCGAACTGACCCTTTGGTTAGATGGGCTTCTATCACATTATACAAAAAGATTATTAAAACCTACCGTGAAGAGAAAGGCAGTTAAGAATTACAGGTAACCCAAAACATCACTGAGCATGAGCTTACTCTGAACTGTGTGATATGTGAAAGGAGAACAACACACTACCGTTTGAAGAAAGAATTAAAAGCTTGCTTATCAAAGGCTAATTGTCTTATGACATTTAGGTAATATTTTTACGGCTAAAAATTAATTCTAAACTGAAGTAAACCGAGATATGCAGATTATGACGAGAATTCTCTTACGCAGTAATATTAGTGACAGTTAGCAACATCCGCCATCTTGTCGCGCCGCCTCCCACGTGCGCCCGCGCCACCACATTTGACATTTAACCTTAACTTTATGGATGTTGTAATGCCAACCTTATTGCTCACTCGCTAAAGATTACATGAGCTTGGTCTAAGCCGTTTCCCGCACGGGTCTTGTATTAACTTTTCAAGTTCGTTTATACAATTTTGTAGTAATTCAAGACGTATATTCACTTACAAGTATTAAAGTGAACTCATGTTAAGCTTAGTACATACAGTTCAAATCAATACATCAAAAAATATTACCAAAAAGCGAATACAAGCCCCGTGCGTGCGACTCATCAAGTATTGTCGACCGCAAATTTTATAAAGCTATACACATTTGACTGCGTAACAAAATATATATAGAAAAACTATATTATGTCAGTGAGTGCCTTAGGCAAGTCAGGTGTTGTAGGACACTCCTACGGCGTACTAACGTGTTCTTAGGTAAACCGAGCAGAGGTAATATATACTACAACTAGGTTATTTTAGACGACAATTCAAAAGATATTTCTATACGAAATGTCTTTTGAAAATTGCTCAGTAAGAAGTACATTATTAGAAGAATATGTGTGTAATTCTACAATATAATTGGCAAGGATTTATGAAAATAATTCGCGTTATATTTTAAATATACGTAGACGTTGTAATAATAGCATAATAATAAATAATAACTCAAAACAATTATCTACGCTACGTGTAATAATTAATGTATTAGTTCATTATATAATCAAAAATTTAAATCATCAATGCTAATGCTCGTAATAATAATTATTTAATAGAACTAACTAACGCAATATCAAACATAATGATACATTTGTGTGTCTTAAGCTTTTGCAATTATATGAAAGATCATATAGTATGTAAATAGTATCTACTGTTTCCAAGACTTATTATTTCATATAATTAATTACTTTCCAAAATCACAAAAATATATTTAATAAGATTTAAAATCACAAATATGCTATAATAATCTTTAAAGGACTTTGTTTTAAATCATTTTTGCATTTAAATTAAAACATATCATAAATAATGTTACGTTTTAGTTATATCGGACTTTAAATAAAATAATTTAATCATGTATTGTAAATACAAAGATTACATTTGCCTCTAGTCATAAAACTGAACAGATATTGATAATGCGCATCTCTGATGACAAGGCATAGCTCGTTCTAGAACATGACACGGACAGATAGACTTATCTATTAGACAATAATGACAGCCAGATATGATATTATTTCGATATTTTGATAATATAGCTTAGAATCTGAAATCATTAAAGCCAGATGACTTTGGTATAGAATATGGAGACGAGATCAGTGCTTGATATAATTTTATACCAAATCTACGAAAAAATAAGAGTTTTGATGAAAAGCATTGGTGAGTCGTATACACTCAGCGTCAAATAGTTCGTAACACCCGGTGGCCAAAAAATTTACAATACAACCTTATTCCAATTGTAACAAAGACATTTTGCCAACTTTTTGGCTACTTTGGATGCCACACGGATTGGTTAAACACAGAGTGATTCGATAGGACAAGTTTTAAAACTAGAGGCATTGACAATATTTGCATTGCGAATAAATAAATGGTATTTCATTTAGTAATTCGCTGCCCAGAGCACCATTACGAATGCCTAGTGTCTATTTGCGGACTGACTGATTAGCATCTAAGGAGTCGTCAATAAATTGTAAAGGCAAAAACGATCGCCACGAGAAAACATATGGACATGGAGTGATTGCAATCCATATATTTGTCTTACAAGATTAACCACTAGAGTGTCAAGGCAGCGGAATACATAAATCTATAACTAGTGCTTATTGTAGCTTGATGTATTACATATTCCCTAACATAGCAGACAAAGTGCGCGCGTGACGTCAGCAGAGCGGGCGCGTACTTTGTGTGTGATGTCAGTGCGTGGGCGTTACCTCTGCCGGGCCGCGGGTTCACTTCTTGGTAGGCGTACCGCGCTGCGTGAGCCCCTCGAACCGTTTGAACGTGTAGTTAATGAACACCCAGTCCTTGTATGCCACCTCGCCGTCTTGCGTTATTGGGGCAGCGGCTGGAATTTGAAAGAAAATATGATAATTATTACAGCACATGGTAATATTTGTTGAAAATTGTGACAGCGTGAAGCCCGACCGAGATAATTCACAAAATTGCATTTCCTAAATAGGCACTCGTTTTGAGATTCCATCGACAATTTGACTTACGTATCTCCAGCTTGCATGAAGTCATCAGGGAAGTAAGATCTACCGCCAATTAAACCAAGTTATTGAACTTGTTGTGGGAAACTGGACAGAGTCCCTAAAGCCATAGGAACTCACGTATCTCCTTGTCACGTATCACGTAGGTTGACGACGTCTCGCCAATAGAACCAAGCCATTGAAGTTGTTAAGGGAAACTAGATCTAGTCCCAAGAGACATAAGCACTCACGTATCTCCAGCTTGACGTCGTCAGCGAAAACGAGCCATTGAAGTTGTTGAGGGAAACTGGACCTAGTTGCAAGAGACATAAGCACTCACGGATCTCCAGCTTGACGTCGGGGAAGTCGTCGAAGTTGGACGTGTCGTCGATGGAGCGTACTTCCACGCGCTCGCGTATGTGACTCCAGTTTTTGAGGGACACTGGACCTAGTTCCAAGAGACAAGCACTCACGGATCTCCGGCTTGACGTCGGGGAAGTCGTCGAAGTTGGACGTGTCGTCGATGGAGCGTACTTCCACGCGCTCGCGTATGTGACTCCAGTTTTTGAGGGACACTGGACCTAGTTCCAAGAGACATAAGCACTCACGGATCTCCGGCTTGACGTCGGGGAAGTCGTCGAAGTTGGACGTGTCGTCGATGGAGCGTACTTCCACGCGCTCGCGTATGTGACTCCACTTGCTGAGGGAAACTGGACCTAGTTTCAAGAGACACAAGCACTCACGGATCTCCAGCTTGACGTCGGGGAAGTCGTCGAAGTTGGACGTGTCGTCGATGGAGCGCGATTCCACGCGCTCGCGTATGTGACTCCAGTTGCTGAGGGAAACTGGACCTAGTTTCAAGAGACACAAGCACTCACGGATCTCCAGCTTGACGTCGGGGAAGTCGTCGAAGTTGGACGTGTCGTCGATGGAGCGCACTTCCACAGAGATGGCGGCCGGCCGCTCGCGCACGTGGCTCCAGTCCACGCCGCGGAAGAACGGCACCGACTTCACGTCCTCGATGCCGCGCTGCGAGCCTAGCCTGTGAACGGGTTAACAACATTCATAAGGCTTCGGCCAAACCAACGCGTGAGGCGTGCCGCCGTGACCAATGACAGGACTCGTTGATGTGAACTCGCTACAAATTCATACACGACACGCAGGCTGCACGAGTTGGTTTGGCCGAACCTTAAAGGCCTCCGCTAATGCCGCACAGTGTGCTACACAGTATGGAAGGGTTGGCAGAAATTATTTATGGTATAAGAAGGGTTTTAAATAATAAAAAACGTTAAAATAAATTATTCTAAATACATTTGTGGTGTCTAGGTATCATATGAATCCGTTTCAGAAAAAAATACAGCACTCGAGTTATACGTAGATGTTTGCGGCACAAGTTCCTTTCGGAGGCTTATGACTTCGTGGGGAATTCTTTTAAAAATTTTAATTGGTTTTATACCTTGATTTTTTAGAATCCAGCAGAGATGTAAACAAACACTTTCATACACAATTACACCATAATCACTTACGTGTTCATAATATCATACACAATATTTAACAAGCCCATGAAACCAACTTTATTTTCATGTTTATATAAGTTTGAAATCAATCTTTGAAACAAAAAATACGTGGACGATGAAAATTTGTGAGACTTGTCAAATTGACTTGACGTTTAAAATCATGTGTTATCTCCATATTGTCTATGACTTGTCTCTGACACATCAGTGCTGTAACCTGTGAGTCATAGACAATAATCTGTAAATTTAATCGATATTATTTTAAGTATTCACTTATTCCGATTACTGATTAATTTTAAATAAAAAATATACGATACTTTGTTTAGTTTTCCAGCGATAACTTCAACAATATTGGAGATAACGTAAAATTATTTTTCTACTTTTAGTGTATACTTTTTCGGAGTCAGTTTAATTTTTAGTCGGTTCTATTTAAACGAAATTATTTTACTTTTTTATGCAATTATGCTTATATAGGAAAATAAAAGAACATAAAAATCTTCTTTCAATTGACAGCATCTTAAATAACCTCCCTAGCCTAGCGGAATAGAGCAACAAAGAACTGAGCGAGCGAGATGTCACTAGTAGCAACACTGTCAAACAGAACTTTTTGCAACTATTTGAAGTTTAATTACTTTACGCATAATTGATTGTTATACTGTCCAGTGTGCTTTTTAAATACATCTGTGCATACAGTTTGTTTCCTGTTCTCGAAAATTTCATAATCTGTTCACATTCAATGTTGCGACTTTGTTGCATATTTTTAGTATTTTGACGATCACCCGGCGATGATACGCAAGTACTACAATAATTTCACTTCGCGATTAACGAGAGGTTTTGTCGCATCACTAGTTCACAGACTAAAAATATTTTTATGTCAGTTGGCCATTTTTGATGACATTTCTGCTGATTTCTAAAAAATTAGACTGTAGAAGGCAGTATATGTAAGGATTTCCACAAAGTTTCTTCTCAAAACAGCGCACGAGCCTAAAATTAAATTAATTGACCTACTTAACTAAAACCAATAAAATTCAAACAACCGCAACTTAAAGCAATTTTTTTACTGATTCGTATAATAGAAGTTCTGTGCTTTGTATGCTACAAATAAACTATCATATAGAAATGCATAGAAACTTATCAAAACCACGAATGACATTTTTTTTTCTACAGAAAATTACTCTCTTTCATTTTTGATACCTCTTTAAGAATACCCAAATAAAAAAATACGAATATTTATTATTGTTACATTACGTACACACCTTTAACGTGACTATTCATATTGAATATTACTAAGTTTGTACTTAAAATCACAATTAAAAATCAAAAAGTGCGTAAACAAAACAGCGACTTAATTTAACGTTCGTATCAATAGCGCGCAAAGAAAACATCATACTATTGGAAATATTTGTTACAATTACCTTCTTAGAGCAAAAATAAGTGCGTCTACTATCTGACTCACTAATTATAACGAAAAAAGTGGGTATTTATCCTATTTACAAAATCGATTTTCTGCCAACGCTCCCATACATAGAAACACACTGTGTGCCGCGTATCCACTAGAGGCAGTCTCGGGCCGAGTGACTGCCTCGTCCCGAGCGACAAAATGTGGCCCGGTCCGCGGCGACGAAGTCTCGCAACGAGTCTTGCCTCTGGTTAACCCATTATAGACTAGCGGTCCCATATGGTACCACTTTTTTGTGTGTTTTAATTTGGCTCTATACATTAACACGTGAAAAGATGCAGTGCTCTGATTGATGCAAGTCGTAGCCAATAGATATGGTCTATGCTTCCAGGAATAAAAATTGACAGTTATTCTTTTCAGTTGTGTGTAATTGATGATTGAAGTGAGCGCATCAAAATTTTCTCTTAAAAATTGACGCGCCATTCAAGTAAGTGATCATATTTTTTTTGTGTGATAGTGAAATACTGATTTTGTTACAATCTTGTATTCTCCATAAGTGCTCTTATTGTGAAATGGTGTAAAATTACGTCGATAGGTATTATTAATGGGAAATATTGTATGTCAAAATTACTGGTACCGTACGGTACCGCTAGCCGCTTACCGTGTCTTTTTAATAATTTTATGATTTTTAGTTTTTACTGTATTTATTGGGAAGTATGTGATATATTCAATGGTATATAAGGTATACAGGAAGATAAAGTAAAATAGTTTCCTATACTTTACAAAACCATGGGTTTTTATTTATTTTAGATGTAACTTACATGAAACATTGGCAGTTTTGGAGGACGATGAAGGTCCCAAGACGAAGCAGATATTTATAGAACGAACTCAAGATAATTGCAACTCTCGAACAATATTAGAGTATAGAAAATGTAACGTGGGGCTATGTGCAGCGTGCAATGCCAAGCTCCATTCCAAAATTTTGAATATTCAAAGATAAAAATTAATATTGCTGACCCAATATACAGTTTTTTTTACATTTAATGTTACTCCTGTTATTTGCTTGTTTATTAATGCATATTATAATAATAATAAAATATATAATTTACCCTATTTTTATAAAGTCCATGATAAAGTTATATTTTAACCGACTGACACGGTAAGCGGCTAGCGGTACCATATGGTACCAGCATTTTTTTTCTAGATTACAGGTCGAATCATTTTTTTAATGCTTGTATAGCATTAAGTAGACCATAATTATGAACACATTTCATAAAAACAAAAATCTGACACTTTAAGAAAACTCAGTCTATAATGGGTTAAGGCAGCGTCTCCATTTGAGCAAACGCGGGTCGAAGTTGCCCCTAGTGGAGATCCAGCTTAAACTTGCGCGGGATCAGGTGCCTACTCCGTATGTGTATTACAGATCTCAGCAACCAGTTTTTTTGAGTTGCTAATGAGGGCTATCGTTTTTATACTTGACAGTTGGCACCCCTGGCGATTGACAGCTAGGACCTTACTCTACAATGGCGCCATCTTGATGAGTGCAAATGCGATGGTCCTCCTACCACTTTAGCGCTCACCAGTTGGTGCCACTGTCTGCGCTACTAGCAAGTGACAGAACCTTACTCTACAGTGGCGCTAACTGGTGCGCGCTAAAACGATAGCCCTCATTGCACAATATCAATGTGACTGCTACGCCAACCAGTGAAAGCGCCGCGTTCTAGCTGTGTAAACGTAGTCTCTCACACCATTTTTTATTGGAAACAGATTGATGTATGACCTGATTAATATTTCTCCTTTCGTAAATCATACTCACACTCACTAACTCAAAAGTGGGATGAGTCTTAGCAGAAAATACACATAAATCCCTGCTAATATTATAAATACTAAATTAACTCTGTCTGTGTCGCTTTCACGCCTAAACCACAAAATCGATTTTGATGAAATTTGGAATAGAGATAGTTTGAGTCCCGGGAAAGGACATAGGATAGTTTTTATCCCGGTTTTTTGAAACAAGGACGCGCGCCACAAAATTTTTCTGTGACAGACAAAATAACGCGGGCGTAGCCGTAATAGTGACTGAGATTCTTGCGCTGCTTCTTCTCAGCACTGGCCCATTTATTGTCCCAAACCCTACCACTGCGGTAGGGTTAATACTGGGACGTGTAATGCTATTTGTAAGATAAATAAGTTTTATGACTTTTTTATGTAGTACCACAGAATAATAATAAGTACTACGTACAGAAGTTTTACTTCGCGAAAGTATTTAAAAAAATGTATGCTCAATGTCATTAACAATATGATGTAATTTAGCCTGTCTCAAGAGTCAAGCACCATTTTGTTGACAAACGTCAGTGATCGGCACTGCGCCGAAGCTATAGGGCTGACTTCGGTAAAATGATGTGACGTGAGGTGCCAAACTGCGGAAAATGGCAGAGGAAATACATGATTTAGCATGACCTCTCAGTGTCTTGAGGCAACTTAAAAAAGTACATTCTGTGTTTTTATTATTATTTAGGCAGTTGAATACTGCACAGTATTTAGTACACCATTTTCTTTAGTTTCTTCCATCATACACAAGAATACGCGTGAGTCAATGTTCGCTCGTATGTGAGGCCTTGTCGAATAGTATCCTGTAGGTGGGCCATCGTGCGTGTTTTGTTTTCGATGTAAACTCGCGGAGATGAACAGGCCTGGTAGTACATACCTGCGGTCTGGCTCAGAACAGAACCGTAGTATGGTGTCCCTCGCCTCTTCGCTGATCGGTATTTCTGGCGGGAAGGTGAGCGATTCCCGCCACGACATCACCTTACGGTACGTCTCTTGCGGCGACTCGGAACAGAATGGCGGGTAGCCGATGAGCATTTCATACCTGCAAAGACAGAAACGCGGTTATTGGCGAAGTGGGTGGCCAAATTGACCACGTAATTGTATGTATGGGTGTGATGAATGTTTCTTTTCCGTTTCGATATTTCAAGTTGTTGCGTAAGAAATTAGCAAAACGAATTCATAGTGACAATAATATCGTAAAAGCAGGCGAAGCGAACGCGAACAATTATATTTTTTGGAAACATCGAGTATAAGTTTAGTAGAGTTTTGAAATAAAATCGCAATTCCACAACCGCCGCGGGCACGGGTGATAATCGCGCCGTGAGTTCTTAGCCTCAATAAAACACCAAAGGACCGAAGAATAATTTAACGCATCCTTAGTTCTGTTGTTTTCAATTTTCTCAACAAAGATAAATCTTACCACTTGGGTAAATTAGGACTTCGTAAAAATTACGTAACTACCAAATTAATGCCCAGTGAACCATTTTAATACTAGCACGGTTCATCTGCTTGGGCGGGGCACATAGCTCGTAGAGACGATGGCCGTTGGGGCAGAAAATTTCTCGACCACGGGCTGGAAGACGTAGCGTGGGCAGGCCTCCTACTAGGTGGACCGACGATCTGGTGAAGGTCGCGGGAAAAGCCTGGATACGGGCAGCGCAGGACCGTTCATTATGGAAAACCTTGGGGGAGGCCTTTGTCCAGCAGTGGACGTCATTTGGCTGAAACGAACGAACGAACGAACATCTCCTTATTTCAACACAAATATATAGACCTGGGAATGCTTCAGGCAGGAAAATTTTCAAGATCCATAACTTTTCCTCGCCTTGTTTCTTCATTTTATCAGAAATATCGCATCTGAGATGACCTGAATAACATCATAGATACAATCGATATAAGCCACGATGTTAATAGATTCATGAGGCTTTGTTTCCACCAGAGATGTACGAGGATGCGTAGAGGGTAAAGAACCAATAGAATCGCTTCATTTACCACCCTACTGTAACGTTATCAATTTTGAAACCACCAAAATAAGCGTGGTCTTTGTTACGTACGCGTCGCTGAGATATCTTTCTGTAGTCTTTATTATTTTTTAGTTATCAAAATTCATTCATTTATTTATTATATGTATATAAGTATATGTACAGTAAGGTCTTATAAAATAGGTAAGGTAAACTTATGGGCCCTGCAAGAGCATTGCAATTTTACTCATATTTACAATAGCCGCAGCTGGAAGAGTCCTCAAAAATTCTACAACGTTCTGCGCTCTCCGTATTCAGGTGCGTCCCAGATTTCGACCATCTTATCAGTCTACTGTGTAGAAGGCCTGTCTACAGTATGACTTCCAGCCAATAGTTGTATAAGCTACTCCTCTCACTGCCACTCAAGCTTCGCAATTCTGTGGGATATGCCGTTTATTTTATATCCTCTTCTCATTTTTGATTCGATAACGAAGGAAAACACCGGCTGTGGGCTTACGTGTCGTCTTAGAATGTTGCTAATTGGACGAATTATGTGATGGATCGATACGATCTCAATAAGATCGTTTTATACATACCAATGTGATAATGAAGATCAGATTAATCGCTTAGAATATCTACCATGTATAATGTAAAATATTTCTAGCCTTGCACAGCGTTTTCCACGTCTTGATCCTTGACGAAATGCACCTTTTTAACGCAAAAATGCAACAGAGACAATCTCAGACTAATAAAAAGATTATTCTAACCAGAATTCTATCGCGACATAACCAACCATACCACTCACACTTCCTTCGTTGGCAACTTAGTTAAAATCACTTAAAACTATGTACAGTCGAACTACCGTACAGTCTCGTGAAAGAATTAGAAATTAGGTGGGTAATCAATCATCTTCAAACCAATTTTTTGTGAGGTCAAGGCAGAATGTCTCGGACAAATGCTGTAATTAGATAAAGAAATAGCTTGATCAGGCAGTATTTGGCAAAATCATGCTGTTGTATGGGTCCTAGGAGTGATTCCATACCTTAGGAAAGGTCTGAAGCCGTGCCACTTAGCTGAGGGCAAAGTACTTCGAATAATCCAAAGTTGGCTAGAGGAAAGGCATCGTTTATCTATCGCAAAAGCGATATAATTTGGGATAGCGGGTTTTGGCATCGTCGAACATCAATAAGTTTTGTTAATTGTGACAAATCTAAATCGATAAAGGTGTAGATGACCCACGCTGAACTGTCCCACCAAACTCAATGACACGGGGGGGCGCTACCATCGTTCAACTATATGGTTTCTAACATGGGAAAAATCGGAACCAGCGATCCGGTATTGACGGTGGCGCCCCACTGTCAATGTCATGAATAGGACAGTTCAGTATTTTGGAACTATAGATAAGGTAGCCAATGAGCTGCTGTCATAGTGACATTGACGTAATGTCAATGTCACACTAGAATCTACGTTAGAATAGAGGGGCGCGCGGAGACGACGTCCAGCGCTTTTGTGCTAAGTGATGAAATGTATTTCAAATGAGGGCAATATAATGTGAAAGATAAGTATCCAGTGTTTTGTTTGTGAGAATAGATCTACCGGCTTCTAATAGTTTCTTATAAACAACCATTAATGGGATCGCTCTATTCTCGGTAGTTCAGTCCACTCTCAGTAGTCTAAGCTTCTGGGCCCATAGATTTCAAAATTAATAATCTCATGTTTACGTTATCGGTGGCCATTAACATGTAGGTACTTGAAATCGATTCTTCCGCTCTTTCCTTCTTCTTATTGATCTTTGAAGGGTTATAATGCAAATGAGCATTTCTCATTTGACAAAAGAAGCTCTGTGAAGTAACATGAAATTGTCTAAATTCCGTATACAGGAGTGAATCTACTACAATATCACAAACCTGATTTCATAACGTTGTGAAAGATAAGAAAGGGAAGTCAGAAAAGCCAATGTCAGGTGCCATTAACACGTAAAAAATGACACAATCAATCTTATAAAATTCCCAATGTATCTATTGTGAATACTATATTTAAGCTTTCACTATCAGTTTCACTAAGGTGAGAGTAGGGTTTCTGCTCGAGCTTTCTCGAACTCGAGAAAACTCGAGAAATTTGGCTTCATTCGAGACGAGAAAAAAATTACCGGAGCTCGAGAATTCTCGAGTTTCGATTTTGAAGCTTTAATATTCTTGAAAGCCTATTTTCTTAGACAAAAGTAAGTTTTTAATTATTTAATAGGTTAACGTTGCGTTTAGACTGGCCTAGTCTTTCCTTTTTTTAACTAATTTGATTTGCAAGTAATGATCTTAACCGAAACTAATAATGTTCACCTACGAGTATGCTATATTTCATTATGTTTGTATAACTGACTGATTTAAAGACTGATTTTTTTTGTTAACTATCTGTTAGTTTAGGTACTCGTAAATACGTTTATTCAAGTCGTTATCTTTAAGTTTAAAAATTTATTTAAAAGTTTTTTTTGTTTGTAAATGTAGGTTTATTATCGTAATTTTTCAATTAATTTGGACTTGTGTTCTTTGGAAAACAAGTGATTCAATTGGAGCTCCAGATATTTATGGTTATTAATCCTTAAAGTACACGCGACTTTATGACTTTTGTTCCTTTAGTTAATTACTAAGTTATAATTATCCTACTAATATTATAAATGCGAAAGTTTGTGTGGATGTCTGGATGTTTGTTACTCTTTCACGCAAAAACTACTGAACGGATTTTGTTGAAACTTTACAGTATTATTGATTATAACCCAGACACATTATAACATTAATAAAAACCCGTGTTTTTATTAAATTTCAACCGATTTCAACAGTTTTAATTAAAAGACTCGAGACCCGAGAAAACTCGAGACTTTGGCCTCGAGAATTCCCGAAACTCGAGAAAAAAAAATAAGTCGAGAAATCAGAAACCCTAGGTGAGAGAAATATCGTGTTTCTTCCCTGTTGTTATCAAACTGTGTATTGATGTCATCATGCAATTAATATGGGTTTAGTATAAATCTAATACATGCTCGCCAATTTCCAAAACCTCAATTTTGCGCTCACTTCGCTCGCTTTTGCGAATATATTTTTATGATATCATTTTACATACAATATTTTATTAATTTTTGTATTTTGAAACAAATCTCAAATATCATGAATAGACACAAATCTGTGACAAATCTTACGATTTATATCGATTTATGAGTGTGGTCCAGAATACGTGCCATAAACCGTAGGCAATAACAGAAAATAAGGATATGAGACACAGTGATGGAAAAAAAGTGACAAAACATAAAATAAAAACAAAAACTTTTCGCAGCGACATTCTGGCAAGTTTGACACACAATGCATAATCCTTTCGGCTTTGCGTGTGCTTCATTTGCTTATGCAAAGTATAGCGAGCTTTAGCGGCCAGTATTTCTATAGTTTTGGCATATTATTTTTTCTTATATCTAAGATTGCCTTAGCATATACAACACACAATTCGCACAGGCTTATCATTTTTTTGCGGAAATGTGACTCGCTTCGCGCATTGCATAACTTAAAAACAAAAATAGGTCGCTTTGCAGATAAAAATACTTGACTATAGCTGTACAGAGCTCAAACGGTGCTTAGTGAAGAGAAAAGTAAAAAAATATAGAACAAAAAGTACAAAATAACGTGTTTTATGTGGATGATCGGACATCTTCAGCAGGGTACTCATCTAGCCGTGTAGCATGTGATGTATCAGATACTGTATCAAGTGAGTACATAGGCACGAGCCCGCTGCGAGCTGCTCGCGCGTGGTTCGCAGGGAGATCGCAGCGACCCGCCGAGTGGCGGCATCACTGCGAGCACAAAGGCGGCTCGCAGTAGGATCCAGGAGCTCGCAGCCAGATACGCGATGACCGGGGACGAGCCGTACTCACTTGAAGATTTGTTACGTTACATGCTACGTTACGTGCTACATGGCAGGTGAGTATCCTGCCTTCGGCGCATACCCGTACTTACATTATGACTCCCAAGCTCCACCAATCCGCCTGGGGCCCGTATCCCGTCTGTAAGAACACCTCGGGGGCAATATAGTCGGGGGTTCCCACGGTCGAGTATGCGAGCGCCCGGCGGTTCCGTTTCCAGGACTCGGCGCGCCGTTTGGAATCCATCGCGGACGACGACGTCGATACTGGAATTGAAGAGTGGTGATATCTATCGTATAACGCATCTGGAAAGTGACAAGGGTTGGCTGAGTGCGGGCCTGGTGAAATAAACACGTAATAAGGTACATGACACCGGTCAAAGGTTGTGTAGGTAAACCTGAACGCGTGCTTTCTTTTCTTAGAAGTTTTATTCACCTTTTTTGCTAAAAATCGGTTGTTAAACTTCTGTTTTTGTATTTATAATATCATAGTGCTGTATAATGCGAAACTGTAGCTATAGATGTCCACACTGAACCGTCCCACCCGTGACATTGACAGCGTGACCCCCAATACCGGATCGCTGGTTCCGATTTTTGTCACGTTAGACAACCTTAAAATACAATACCGGAAGGCGCTAATATTAATACTGGGTTTAGTTTTTGTTTTTGCCACTTGACGTTTCAGAATCGTGGGACTATACACATGTTCGTTATTTCAAAAATTTTCAACTATTTTTTCTGTCAAATACCTAGTTACTTTTTTATAGCAATGGGTTGTTCACACCCAGCCAACATCTTTGAATAGCTCTGATGTGTTAATACTCTAAAAGTAATTAGTTCTTTAAACCGTTCATGCATTTCAAGAAATAATAGTAAAATGGTTAGTTTTAGTTAAAAGTACCGGTGTCGTGTACCCTAGAAAATTAAAAAATATTATTAGGTTAAACAAAACAATAAAGGCATAGGCTTAAATACAGTGTGAGTCACGTTAAAGTGTACATATGAAAATAGATGAAACTAGACCTATTTTTATCGACAAAAAAGAGGTCAAAAAATTTTTGAGATTTTTTTTTAATTTTTTATAGAATTTTTTTTCTTCCAATTACTTATTGTAAAGAAAACGTAATAACTTTTAAACTAAGCGGTATATCCTGATAAAATAAAAACAGTAATAATGCTAAATAACAGGCGATACTAAAAAAATACATAAAATACACAAAAAATGCCAACAAATAATAAAAAATGATACTTTTTGAAAAAAATCTGCTTAAAAATTCGTGTTTTTTTGGTTATTTGATAAATTTCTCCAAAAAATGCCCCTATAACCGGTGGTTTTTATTACTTTGTATTATTCTCTATCGTATTACCTTCGTAAAACCAAAAATCGCATGTCTCTATCCCTATCACAACGTTTGCAATGATCGTTTGAACTAAGCCTCTCCGGGCGCGCCATTCAACGCTTCGTTAACAACAAAACTGAAAATGGCTCTAGATTTGTAATTTTGATAAAGACAAGTTAGATTTCAAATAAAAACAAAAGATTTCGAAGTAAAATAAGCATTTTAGTTAAAATTAAAATTGTCTCTACCTGTAGCGGAGAATAATGTTGTGGCAGGCCTTTGTTCAAACGATCATAGCAAATGTTGTGATAGGGATAGAGACATGCAATTTTTGGTTTTACAAAGATAATACGATAGAGAATAATACAAAGTAATAAAAACCACCGGTTATAGGGGCATTTTTTGGAGAAATTTATCAAATAACCAAAAAAACACGAATTTTTAAGCAAATTTTTTTCAAAAAGTATCATTTTTTATTATTTGTTGGCATTTTTTGTGTATTTTATGTATTATTTTAGTATTGCCTTTTATTTAGCATTATTACTGTTTTTATTTTATCAGGATATACCGCTTAGTTTAAAAGTTATTACGTTTTCTTTACAACAAGTAATTGGAAGAAAAAAAATTCTATAAAAAATTTAAAAAAAATCTCAAAAATTTTTTGACCTCTTTTTTGTCGATAAAAATAGGTCTAGTTTCATCTATTTTCATATGTACACTTTAACGTGACTCACACTGTATAAAAAATACATAAATTACATAAGTAGGAACATAACAAAAAAATACAGGATAAAAAACATAAACCCGTACAAATTATTTAAACTACTACATGGATGACATGAAACACAATAATTGCTTATTCTTGTGATTCCTATATTAATTAAGTTCCCCTTTCCACTTACTCCACTATAGGGCATAGAGTTAATACTACCATTTTAATTCGAGGCAGTAAAATGACATTTTAATCATATACAACAACAACCACAAATATGAACTAGCAAAATTACGTAAAGAACAATTTGTAAGAAAAATGTTTAATGTAAAAATGTGTTAAATAATACATTTTGAATAAAAAATATGTCCAAAATCGCTGTCCAAACGCGACATGGTGCCCAGAATGCTGGCTGCATTTCCAAGCTGAATGGCCAAATTCGTTGGCCAAGAAAATTTTGTACTTGTAAATATTTAGTTTATGTAGTTCATAAATATGTTAATTTTATCACTTTATCCCAATATATTTTGAATTCTATTGAAAAATACAGCTCAAGTTACTGTCTTAAAAGAAACTAGAGTATTCCAAAACCTGTTAGCAAGTCGGGAAGGCATAAAACATTTGAAAGTTCAACTCACTGAAGTCAGAGGGGGTGGCGCGCGATAAGTCCCGGTAGAAGTCGGTGCGATGGCTCTTCTTGAGACCGGTGCAGAGTCCAAAGTCGCTCAGCTTGATGTGCCCGCGCGCGTCCAGCAATAGGTTGTCTGGTTTTATGTCCCTGGAATGGGAAAACACACAAAGTAAAATAAAGGTATAAGCACTAATAGATAACACTTCAAGGAATAATATTTAAATCTTGTATTTCTATTTGTTTTTGTAGGTACCTCTTCAAATACAAATTCGTCTTGCCCTACCACTTCAGCTTTACTTATCCGCTGGTGCCGAGAAGGCGTGACAGAAGTAACTTTGGTACTTTTGGGAGTCATTTTGTATATAGTCGTCTATAGAAAACCTTAACGCATTATCTTAACTGCCAATATAAATTTCAAGTTAATTTAAACTTGCAATTACTTATGCTGGCAACAAAACACATGAAAATTGCAAACATAGTTAAGAAGTAATCTGATTTTATGATCTAAACTGACGTTGCTGGAATGATTGGTTAATGGGCACCATTGCCAAACTCCCGCGCGATGTTTCAAAACTCTTAACTCAATATTCGATGCTCGTGTATACTATCTACTAGAACTAGCTTATACCCGCGGCTTCACCGACATGTATTTGATTTTGTCACAGAGAGACCAACTTATTTGACACTAATCATTGGGCGTCATTCGATGCGAGCTTCAATACTGACTTGTGTATGAACCCAAGCTAGTTTATACGGACCTGTGCATAAACCCAAGCTCGTTAATAACCTGTGCATGAACCCAAGCTACAGTATACTGACCTGCGTATAAACCCAAGCTAGTGGATACTGACCTGTGTATGAACCCAAGCTCTTTACTGACCTGTGCATGAACCTAAGCTAGTGTATACTGACCTGTGCATAAACCCAAGCTCGTTACTAACCTGTGCATGAACCCAAGCTAGTTTATACTGACCTGCGTATGAACCCAAGCTAGTGTATACTGACCTGTGTATAAACCCAAGCTTGTGTATACTGTCTATGGCCAGCGCGGTCTCCGCGACATAGAATTGCGCGCACTCCTCGCTGAGCGTGTCTTTCTTCATGAGCAGCGTCATCATGTCGCCTCCTGGCAGGAACTCCATGATGAGGTACAGGTTCATGGGATCCTGGAAGCTGTAGTACATCTTCACCACCCACTGGTGGTCGGCTTCGACCAGGATGTCGCGCTCGGCTCTCACGTGTGCCACCTGATAATTGTTTAAAGTTAATAAGATAATTAAACCATTTCCGAACACGAAACGAAATAAGTCCTCAGTTAGGCTAAACACAGTACATAATAAGCACTTAATTGAAAATAAAACGAAATCGATAAGTATACTAGCCAGCAGTGTCGACTATAGCAAGAAGCGTGATAAATCTAACACTGTCTTATAATCCTAGCCTTAAAGAGATGCAAATGTAAACTCTTGATACCATTTGTAAACGATTACACTTGGATGTAGCAAACTGAAATTATAAATTAAGTGTATCACCGGACTAACAAACTTCTGACAAAGCACGATTAATTCTCTCTCAACTCCCAACAATACGTAGGTTTGTTTTAAATTACGCAGAGTATGCAGTATAATTCCTGCAAACTAGGAGTACCGATAGTTTGGATTTAGCGAGAGGTTTGTTTCAAGTGGTTTTTGAGAACAAGTAGACTTATTGAGCCAGTCTCCTGCCGGCTCCAACTAAGCTTATCACTCGGAGAAATTGCTGTCTGTTTATTTGACCACACGCCGCCGTCTAGTGTGATAGCTACGAACTTTTCATTCATTGGTACAAATCATCAACTCAACAAAGCGTTTGAAAGATAAAAGTCACCGAGTTAGAATGTAGAAATCAATTACTCGGCAAAAGCATTGCCACGCGTTTCTACGTTCGTTTTGCACCTCTTGTGTAGCGATCTGCAGCTTGACCGCCAATAAAAACCCAATCAGTGAGAGCCAAGTAGTCATAGGGAAAATTTAACTGTCATTGGACCCGCAACGACACACAAACTAGTTTGCTTTTGCCGCTAACACTATTTCATCTTTTTTCAGAGCCAGTTGAAGATTTTAAAAACTTTCCTAAATAAGTGACCTGGTACACTGTGACTAAATAAATATTCATATTGCCTGCCTAGTTTACTAAGTTATTCAAAAACGGAATTGCTTCTTTCGTGTTTACCAAGTAAAAATAAGACGCATTTGTTGCAGGGTTCGAAAATATCCTTATGATATATATCCGATATATATCGGATATATATCTGATATTATGATATATATCCGATATATATCGGATATATATCATAAATATCGGATATATATCGGATATTTTCGAACCTAGGGTTCGAAAATATTCTTATGATATACAACGTGTCCCAAAATTCAAGGATAAGCCGACGCCACAGGATGGACATAGTCATGACTACTTTAGGAAAAATAAGGAAAAAAATCTATCTCAATTATTTTTTAACTTACACAATAAATTATGAAATTCGACGAAAATTGACACCCTTTATGATATTTTACATTACCACGACCACAATTTTTCAAATATTCCTGTTTTTCTGTTTATATCGGCAACTTAAGTAGTGCTGCTGTTCACCCCAACTCTTTAAACCCGCAGAATCCTTGCAGTTTTTACACAAAAGTTAATCAAAATATGTTATTTCCTTAAAATTTTCAACGATTATTACTTTCGCTCCACTTTGACTCATCGTTTTGTAAAAAAAAAGTATGAACACTACTGCGGCAAGTTTTTTATAAAGTTGACGCAACTATCCAAGATTCCAAAATGGTATAATACTCTAAGAAACCTAGTCGCAAAAAAGATATGCGTACCATTTTTACAAGAACTTTGCTTGTTAGTTAGTATGGGATAAATCTTGCAACTGAATTTAAAACCAGTTCTCCTTAACCAATTGAGCTTAAATTTGGTATACTTGTGTAAGTACGATGACAATGCAATATTATGGTACCATTGAGCTGGATGGAGTCTGGAGGTGGGCATAGGAACTCTTAACGAAACGGCGGAATTGCATCTAGTTTGGGTTCGTTGGACTTGTCTTTTCGAGCACTTTAGTGCTAGATGATGTCCACGGTCCTGATGATGAAGTCAAGAGGTGGCAGAAGCTGGCCATAGGAACTCCTAAACGAAACGTCGGAAGCTTATCGAGTTTGGGTTCGTTGGATTTGTCTTCCCGAGCACTTGGGCCATGAGATTGAGAAACAACTAAAAAGGTAGATTTAACGTAAGATTTTCATTTTTTGTATTTGCGTTTGAATTTTTATCAATTTTTTCAAGCCAAACCATATTTTTCAGCAATTTATCTTGTAGATAAATTGTTGGATACATCTTGTACAGCTTCGATCGCTTTTTGCAAATGTTCTATGCTATATTGAACTTTTGGAGTCTGGCATACTTACTGAAAATGAAACATTAAAAGCCATTTCAATATTTATGCCTGTAAATTGCAAAACAAGTCTAGCAATGAGCAACTTAAACACTGCTACTGTATGGTGGCAACACTCTAATAATAATTGTCCTGGGCAATAACTATACATTAACATATGGCAATAACTGAAATCATGGTGGGCAATAACTAAAAATATACAGATTTACGTGCAGTGATTACCCACCGTTAAAATTACCGTTAGAAATCAAATTTTATCAGTTATTTTCATTGATAATGGAGAAAACACTTCTAATTTCATCATGACAATACACCATTAGTTGAATATTAAATAACTTGAAAAAAAAAATTTAACCTCTAAGCAAGTAATTCCTTAGTAAAATTGTTAAAGTCTTTACCTGTTTGAGTAACATTTTCACCCGTCTTGACAAAATCCGCCATAACTGTTTTTTTTAGTGTTTCCTATTGTAAATTTTAAATCTACTGTACATTGATCTCGGAGCCATCTACTTAGTAAATTCAAATCTAACTAGAGTGATTCAAAGTCAGCACCTGACAATATTATTCTTAAAGCGGGCAATCACTACCAGTGGGCAATCACTCTCTGGTTTACCCTATATCTGATAAATATCATAAATATCGGATATTTATGATATACCTATATCCGATATATATCGGATATATATCATAAATATCGGATATTTTCGAACCCTGATTTGTTGTACCTAATTACTTATTCATGAAAAATACAAGCAAGTGCGTTTGTAATAACAAAGGTGGTTAGAGAACGCACTTTTATGTTTCTAATAAGAAGTGTACAATACTTGTTGTTTACAACTTAAAAAAAAATAATCTAGACCCGAGAAAATGTTTAAGTTAAAGACAATCCTTCCATTGTAAATAACTATTTCAGCGACTTAAATGATCATAGGATTTCACTATAATTAATCAATTGAAAGCTGAACATTGATAAATATCAAGTTGCAGAAATCTAACTCCAGAGATGCGGTTTGACTCTCGACCTTTTAATTACAGAGTGACTGAATTAACTAGGTATCTACGTATTACCTAGTCACCCTAGTTGTACTGGAGAACTTTCAAGTGTTTCTACGCTATAAGCCAGCGTCTATCCGCCAATGTAGAACAGTATTACTCTAGTAATCGTTCGTTTATCCTCCAGGAGCATCTCGCGAAACATGTTCCCGAAGGTAACGCCAGTCTTTGTTTGCTGAAGCGTTAGTGAAGTCCTAAGTCTCGTAGAGTGGAATATTTCAATATCTAGACATTGTAGAATATGAATAAAATGAGCACTTCACCTCTCTGGTGTACGGATACCTTTGTAGTTTGTGAGAGATGCTATTTTGGAAAAACGTATAATCCGGTCTGATGTGCTTATATGCGTTTGCCCTTATTCTAATCACTACATAATAATATGTAGTATAAAACAAAGTCGCTTTCCTGTCTGTCTGTCCCTAAGTATGCTTAGATCTTTGAAACTACGCAACGGATTTTGATGCGTTTTTTTTTAATGGATAGAGTGATTCAAGAGGAAGGTTTATATGTATAAAACATGCATGTTATAGAAAAAAAAGCCGAGAAAATCCATTGCACCCGTGCGAAGCCGGGGCGGTACGCTAGTTAATAATTAAGTAAACAAACTCGCCTGTTCTTTTTCCAACATGTCTGCCTTCCTGAGGATTTTCATCGCGTAAACGTGTCCTGTGTCTTTTTTCTGCACCAGCCGCACCTCGCCGAACGCACCGCGCCCGATCACCTGGAAAATATCAAATTAGTTATCAATTACACTGTCCACCGACAGCCCTGTAAATAAGGTTCAATTTTAATTGCCTCCCATGAGGTGGGTGGCGACTATAAAATTGCTACAATGTGTAAAACATTGCCCTCGATTTAATGGCCTATAAATTGAAATAACTTTTAAAATTAACGACGAAAGACGTTCGACATCGAATTCGAATCTGTACAAAACTCTAATGATGAAAACTAAATCTGCATTTTAATGTTATCTTACTTGTTTATAGCAATATGACCCCTTACTATCGTATTACTTTTAAGAAAGTTAAGCGATAAAACAGACTCTTATTTAAGAGGGTTGCCATTACCAAGAATACTTAGCTCTTGGAGCAAAAATAAAATAATATTTCAAGAAATCTGTACACTTAGTTGTCGCTTTTTATTGGTAACTAGATTAAAATTAGAAATTAACTTCAATCATGTCAGTATTTTTTAAATACATTACCGTATCAAGATTCTTAGATAAATACAAAATTACGTTTATGAGTTTTTACGTTACAATTACGAGTAGATACGTAAGTAACTTCAAAAAAGTTTTACTTCCTTAGGTGACGTAACGAATAACAACCCTTCTCGAGCAACTCAACAAAACTGTAAACACACGAACCGAAAAGTTAAGAGGACCTAGTAGAGTACCTAACTTGATATTGCAAAATACTTGAAATGTTAAAATAATAATACGCTTGAATTAACTTTACATTTATTATTAGTAAACAACGAATAATTCTAGCATTGACCGTATGTTTTGTGTGTTGTATTACGAATTAACATTAATTATGAATAATGTCAATACAAAAACAACACAAATAATAATATTGACATTTCTAAATAAATTTTATTCAGTTTTGTGTAGATTGATATTGGCAGATAGCCTATTCGGAATTAAATTAATTAATGAACGTTAATTAGTTATATTATTGTAAATTAGCATTTATTTGCAAGCCACCTTATGGATTCACCCTCTATACAACTTTTCATGGAATAAATGATTTGTTTTAATTACCTTTGGTATTTAGTGTTCGGGTCATCAAAACGAGGTGCATGTGTAATTTAACTATGTTATCATTTCAATTTTTTTAACTAAGACATCAATTAACTACCTCGAAATACCGAATGTACCGAATGTTCTTAAAACTTTATGACTGGGTATATCACATATTTGGCCATCGTCGGAATTCATACCTCTTCTCACATAACACTTCTTTTATTTTTTTAACTTTTAGCAACTGCTCTGCGTTGACATTATGTATGAAACGTGATTTTTAATACACCGATGTTGCTCCCTAAGTTGATAATACAATCTTACAGCGATAGTCATCAAAGGACTGGCCATTCCCTGCCATCCTGTATGTAAGTCAATATGTTTGTGGGCTAATAGTCTCCAGCGCTAGTGCTCCAATTTGCAAAATTGATTTAGTGATAAAAGCGACGAGATTCCCGGATGTCTTCTGACCTTCCGTGACACACAGCGGCACTAGAGCACACTTGTGACAAGATATGCTTATAAAAATACTAGCTGTTCCCGCGGATTTGCCTGCGTGACTTTTGGTCTGTTACAGCCTATGTTACGCAGGGATAATGTAAAATTCTAACGAAGAAAGAATTTTTGAAATCGGTCCAGTAGTTTTCGAGTTTATACGTTACAAAAATAAGTAAAAATTTTTCCTCGTCTGAATTGATAACAGTATCAAATTAGAACCAAACCTATAACCTGCTGAGTCGAATGTCTAACGTCCTAACCCCAATGGTGGAACATTAAAAACAGTTTGACTCATTTGTATCAGAAGCGAATTTGCAGTACCTCTTCCTCCAATTCCTTCAAGGTCACCTTTCCAAGTAGCCGGCTACATAAACTGGCATCAATTGAATAATGTTTCAATCGAAATCTCAAATCAAGTGGCCCTTAATGTGTTAACACACAGTCAAGGTGAGATTTGGATTGCAACGCCCCTATACCCCGAATCGTCTCAAGATGCTAGCACCTACTTCACCTAGTTAAACTACTCCATGCGGGTCGCCCGCAGCCTACGGCCGCTTCGACAGTCCTAAAACGCAAATCGAACAAAAGACCTTGACACGATGCAGCGTCATATCACAATGGAGACAAGCCCGGTAGTGGGCTCACCCGCCGCTGGACTTAAGTACAGTAGAATCTCGATTAGCCGGACTTCGATTATCCGGACCCATTCTTCACGGTTCTTATCACCGATTTAGGGTCTGGACCCATCAAAACGGCAAGGCGCCGCCACCGTAACACGGTACAGATGTCGACTTGGTTCATTGTTATAAGAAATGGATTCATCCAATGGTCTAAAATTATATATTGAATTGTTTGATTTTACTTTGAAATCGATTATCCGGTACACCCCTGGTTTTAATTGATCCGGATAATCGGGATTCTACTGTAGCACGTAAACAACTAAATTAGAAATCAACAGTAGGTAAAGAGATCTTTTATTTTTCAGTTAAGGCTTTATATTCCACGTGCAACGGGATTTAGTCAAAGATTACTCATTAAGATACCTACTCAATGATTCTCAAGTTTCGAAAGTAGGCCAGGCCTTCTTTTGGACATTTATAACTGCCCCAAATATAACTCGCTCTCCACTTGTTTTAAGATTGTGATTGATAGGATTAAATATAGCCGAATTAAACTATGAGGAAGATGGAGCTAATTTAAAGAATGAAATTGAAACGCATCGTTACATACATGCTTATGCATACAACGGTCATGTGTGAAACTACAGGAAAAGTAGATGACTATGAAGCCCTTCTCTTCAGCGTCGTAGCAATTCTTGCCACATCCAACACAGATGTTTAGGGGATAATAATGCACTATGAAGACATTTTTAGGTGTAGCATGCCAGTCTTTGACATATTTTGATACTCCCTCATCGCTTGTTTAAAACTCATGGTGCTGACTGATTTACAAGTTCTATAGACCGGCTTACCCGGGGTTTCATGTCTTGTTCCGCGCTCAGCGAGCAGTAATGATCCTTCTTCGCCCACCACTATTACGGTTACATCATGTCCGAAGCTCGTCTCGTAAAAGTCATATTGTCAATCTGTACGTTTTACGAGCGAGTCATTGGTCGGACTCTAGGAGATTGTCGGGTCGCGGCCTGTGGTTGCCCTGCCGACTTCTGATGTATTTAATATATGAGGTGTAGTTATGTACTGAGTTGTATATTAAAAAGATAGTACAAAACGCGTTATCACGTAATAATACTGTCTAAATAACATTAGGACATTGAAGGCAATGCCTATTTCGGCGTAGACGATTAGCGATCTTGTCAATGCAACTGTAGTCATAGTGCATCGTTCTTGTACGATTCCATTGTACAAATCAAAATCCCGCAATGTAATGATTGTAGTAGATTTTCTTGTTTTATGGGCTGTAAAAACTGAGGTCAGGACTATGATGACAAGCTTTATGAGCCGCTATAGGAGACTTATAACGAAACGTTTCGCGATTTGATAATATAATTGCGACTAAAGTATGATGCTGCATACAGGTAAATTACTCGATGGATGTTCAAGGAGATGTAAAAATGTCGTAATTAATTACAAGACATTATCTAAGATTACTTAAAACAATAACACACCGCGCAGGTGGCAATGATTAAACCAGAGTTTATCAATACTAGATTATCTCCATCGAATGTTATCTAAATTGATTCCAGACGATTTGAATCAAAACATAACGAAAAAGTAGAAGAATCCATACACGAGGCACGAGACATGACTAAAATGGTATATGGAAACTTTCCACTGGAAAATATCTCTAATTATTTTATTTTTTTCATTTCGAATGTTACCTAAATTGATTCCAGACGATTTGAATCAAAACATACTTAACGAAAAAGAAGAATCCATACACGAGGCAAAAGCCATGACTAAAATAGAATAATGGAGACTTTCCACTGGAAAATATATCTAAGTAACTAATTTATTCATTGCGAAATAAATATCGGAATATTGTGTTTTTCACAACAACTCGACTCCAAGGTAGGCGGCAGAATAGGACTCAAGGTATAAAAAACATTTATAAAGAATTTTGTAAGTGAGGAGATTACGTAGAATAATATATTTGTTATGACTACATCACTGAGTACACTTAGTTAACAGCCGTTAACACGAGCACATACATAATATTTAATGGCGTTACGAGAACAAGTCATCTAACCGATCACAAATACACCTCAGTGATGACATAATCGTCATGGTATGGTTAATTTCCTATGGCTAATTAGAGAAAATTGGCGATTCCAGCTCCTTATTCTGGGATATGACGTCAGTTTAGCATTACGTTTACGCATCTCCGAAAGAGTAAATAAATCAATACAAATGGTATATTTCAATGATATGATACTATCGATTATACGGTTATAACGAAAATGGTTTCTAACCAGTATCACAGCGACTAAGTTTGGTTATGAGCTTGAAGTTTTAGGCATTGTTCAGACGATTTGAGAGGACGCTAATTCGGACCTCGTCGAATACGACCATCGTGGTGAGTTCACTCCTAACACTACACAAGTATACCTATCTATATTCAAATTGCCTGAAGATTGAAATCTGAAAATTAGTAATAAGTAAATTTGCGTAAAATGTAATTCGTGTACATGGCGCCAACAACGCACATGCGGGAATCGAAACCGCAACCACCAGATTTTGAAGCGGGCGGCGCGGTCCGCTACCAGGCGGCCTTCGTGAAATATGACGTATTTTCGGAACATAGAAATGCATTGTTCGGGGTTTCAGTATCAGCCTCGAGTACAAAACTAGCCGAACATAATTTATTAACGTAGAAACAAAATAAGTATGAGGGAGCGCTTGTTATAACACAGAGTTACTTTTAAAATCCAATAACGTTACTCTCAGTGGTTTTCCGAGAAACAGCTCTTTCAGAGCGGTCGGTATTATTAACCGATATTAATCGAGTAGGTAATTTGTTTTAGATGTGTGCGCTGAGCACATTTTACATAACATTTTTAAAACTAAGTATATTAATATTGCCGCGTGTAGTAGCCCGTACGTGCGACATTTCAACAACACAGCCCAACGCGTGAGCGGGTCTCATACAATCAGCACGTACATTAGAGATGAGACGTATTTACTAGAACAGATCCACACACTAGGTATTTTACAGTACTAGGCGGCACCTATCAAATTTTTAAATACTTGATCCACCTAGTATTTTATAAATTACACGATTTCCGACCCTACCTTCAAAGTAATAGAGGTTATTATTGCGTAATCCGTAGTCGTGTATTACGCGCACCTAGTATTTCTCGCTAAGCTTATGTGCGAACGTAGAGATTCACTCCGTCTCTGTCTGACCAGACAAATTTGAGCGCGACGCCGAAGCAAACGCACACAAACGTAGTCAAACCATATTCATGTAAATAAGAAAAAATATGTTAATATTTTTATGAAATTGATATCTTTTAAATACGCCAACTTTTAAGTTGACAGTCCTATGCCTGTTGAAGTATGAAGGGAGGAATTATTATTCAATTTCAAATTGCATTATTCATACTACGGTTGTATCTTTAAAAAAAAAATGTATTTTAAAGTCATATTACGTGGATTAGTCCGCACTAGTCGCGTCAAGTATGCTAAATTACTACGTATTAGGTGGAATAGGTATTTGGATCGAGTATTAATAAATACTAGGAATAGGTGCACCTAGTATCAAATTTACCTAGTATAACCCATCTCTAACGTACCTACATACCTCGCTGCAATGTAAGGCAGCTGTAGTTGCAATGTTAACATCGAAAAATACCGGCTAAGCACAGTCATCCGAAGCAACAACTACTATTTATTCTACTTTTACTAGCACTAAGTGCACTCAAGAAAAGTTAAGATGAATCATTAGCTAGAGTGAACCACTTATGACAGTTGAACAAGAAAACGTGATCACTTTGGACCCAGTTTGGAATTCTTCGATAACTTTAAGGATTTTTCTTTATGTCATTATTTATAGAGCACTAAGGCTGGGTTGCACCATCTTGCTTTAATTTTAACAAACGTCAAAAATCTATCAAACTCCATACAATAAACACCGGTTATCGTTAAAGTTACTGGTAAAGTTAGGTGGTGCAACTCAGCCTTAGTTGGATTAACATTGATCCCTCTGGCAGAAACTTCTTGAGGCCTATTTCTTTAAAAAACTGTTAAATTCCTAACCGCATGCGAGAGCGACAATCTGATAAACTATGATAAAATGCAATGCTAAACTAAGCAAGGGATGTCCTGCGACCGGTAAGGATTATGTCGATAAAAAATAATTAGGTAATACGTAATTTTTTTTGCAATCACAGAATCGCACCCTTCGAAGGAGCACCTCGGACTCGAATCTACAACAATTAGTCACGGCAACTGACATCACGACACGGATGCGTGCACTATGCCTTGGAGCCTATTATGTGTTCTACGCTTGGTGCTTGCCATGACTATGGCGGAGGCCTCAACTACTTCGCACAATGGTGTTAAAGGCAATCTTCCTGGCCGTGACAGCCACATGCATTACACTTGTAAGTTAAATGAAAAAAAAAGAAGCGAGTGCGTAATAAATAACGCATCGGAACTTCGCGAGGTGACTTAGATCCAACACGTCGAAAAGGCGTGTATCGAAAGCGGTCCTTTTACGCAAATCGATATCGATTTATTCTGCCAGCTCCACCTCTATCGCTTATCCAAGCTGGCTAAAAGTCACTAGAAGTCAGTCATGTGAGCCAGAACCGGCTATCGGAAAATGATGACCTATGTCATGATACGTCAACATAATATGGTCTGTTTTATGAGGAAATGTCTAACAGACGACAAAATATGGTTTCTCCCAGACTCTCCCACTAAACATGACTGGTTTCAACCTATACCAAAATTAGGTTGTATGTTACCAACTTTATAATTGTGTGTACATCGCACAGTAGTCAACTTGGACCGGGGACGTACACAGAGTAAGTAAAATAATCATTAATAGGTGCATTTGCCCGGAAAACTAACAAAGATAAAAACTTCCGCTTCGAGTCCACCTTCTCTCTAAAATATGTTTTAAAAGCTTTCCAACTAGACCACAGAAACGTTTTTAATATCAATTAGCTAAAGTATGACGCCCGGAGTAAGGACATTCTCGAGTAAATTGGATCTAAATTAAAACAGTTATTCATTTCAAACGAAACGAAATAGCATTTAATAAGCTGTGTTCCAGGAATACAAATTGAAATGTCATGTAAGCCGTAGTAAGTAGTCTGCTTTAGGAATGAAAGAGAATCCTTGCAACTGTAGCTAATGTCAACAAGATACAAATCAATTTTTAGTATTGGTTCTTAGAATCAGTTCTGAGTATTTGTCTTCGATATTACTAAAGCCTTGCATTTCCACTACAGCGGAATAAAAATGAGAAATAAAAGTTTTCAAGCGAAGTTCCCGGAAGTCTGCAGCTACACAATATTGTTTGTTTTTTTTTTACATTCAATTCCTTGATTGCTTCCTGCGTCTTTTAAGTTAATTGCAAAAATATGTTTCGAATTTATTGAAATGTCTATCGACACAGAACACAAGTTATTGAAAAATATTTCCAAACAGAATCGAATCGTCTCCTTAAGCTTTAGCACTACGACAGACGTTATAACTTCCTTCTAGCCCAATACGACTAGTGATATGGCAGGGCAAACTATTCGGTCTGTGGGAATCTGTCCTCGCAGCATCAATCGGGTTCGCGTCGAACTTCAGTACGAGATTCCACAAACTTCACAAACTATCGATGCGTCGAGCTCGCGGTCAAGTGCAGAGCTCAGAGTAAATGCGCAATAATTAATGTAATTAATCAACTGCACCACGACTGCACCGCGAACTTGGTCTGACTCTAAGTTATGTACTTGAAAAGCCACGCGATTCCTTGTAAGTAAAATGAAGAGGTTGCATCTTAGAAGCCCTTCAAAAATAAATTAATAAACCTTCGACAAAATTAAATTCGAAGTAAATGATTGATCTGCCCACTGAAAAAACGAATACCCTTAGGACCAATTTGCAATCATTTCAACTTTTAAGTAAGGATTCAAATTGACGTATTGATTGGTATATCATTAGTAAGAATCAAGATTTCACTGGAAATATCTCTTTTTTGCAGATAAAAGTTAGGTATCTGACAATTGAAAATTTCTAAGACATTGAGAAATTTGAGAATATCGTAAACCAGAGATGGATGTGAAGGAAAGCGCTGGATGCCGCTACCAACCGGGCAATATGGAAATCATTGGGGGAGGCCTACTAATGCGCTGAATTCGAAACTCAGTATCGCATTAGAAATATGTGCTCATTATCCACTGCAGTATCAGTGTACTCAACGTTCGAATAATCTTTGGTACAACGCAAGCAATGTAAACTGTTTACATTATGACGCCGTTCATTGCTGCCACGAGCAATGTGTTCTGTTTTCGGGCATATTGCTGCGACACCGGCCCGGCCCCCTTGTCACATCTCCCTTTAGTTTCTGTGTTCTGTGGGGAAGGCTTATGTTGAACAGTGGACTTTCTGTGGCTGAAATGATGATCATGATGATGAACAAGCAAAATTGAAACATGTTCTCAGCACCAACCTTGAGCGGCTCGAAGTCCTCGACGCCGAGCCTTGAGCGCTTCAGCCGCAGGAACTCGGTCTCCTTCTGCGCGTGCTGCTGCCGCTTCTCCTGCTTCTGGCTCTCCGACAGGCTTTCATCCTTGAGCGACTCCTCCAGTTTCTCCAGCCTGGTGGACAACGAAAGCATTTATGACTATCATTCGTATTACGAGACTATACACATCGCTGCAACTCCTGTGCAGCAATCAAAAGCTGATAAAATTTAATTGGCAGTCAAATTGAAGATACTAGTCGGAAAAAGAGGGGATTGCTCAGCCCGCGAAAACTAGACGCTCATCTCAGTGGATACAAAATCCATAAATTACAATATGTATAAATATAACATTTTATTTCAAATATTAGCAAAGCAACAAAAAAGTAGGTCACCTATAAATTAATTTGAATACCACGAATGTAAAACAAAGCGCATTGTGAGAGCTGCCTCCAGTTAGTTCATAGAAATCGCTGTTGCATATTTACTTTACTCGCATGCACCGAATGTCACAAATAATTGGAAACGTATCAGCCTTCCCGAGATTTAATTATCTGCTCGTTCCGATAATCGGTTTACTGATATTAATATCAAATGTTGACATGTAATGTAAGCCATCGCCGCCAGAGCCGGTCAGTTTCATCGGCAGCTGATCAGTGCACCAACAGATTAATAGACCGATTACTACCATAAACTCGAGTACACCTGCACTTGATTAAACCCTTTGATGAGCACTTAATTAAAACTGTCAATACGCCGTTTATTGCCTGTATTGAAATTGCATTTTTGCTATTAAAGTGCAGCGAAACAGAATATGCTAGTTGACATAATCCTTGCGATGTAGTCATAGTGTTGCCTGCCGCTGGGGCTGACGCAGCGCGGGTTAACTCTGTGAAACTTTCGAAGTAAAATCTTCTTTGATTGAAGTTTATTATTAATAATTAAATTCGGCGCCAGCAGGGGATACTACATTGTTTGTTATCGATAAAAGTACGTACTAACTGAGTACATTTTTGCGTTGAGTATTATAAAACGTCCCGCACAGACGATTGAGTCACGTTAACATTATAATTACCATAATATCATAAATGCCGTTAACTTTCTGAAATGAAACTTTTACAATAACGTTAGGTACCTGAAGACTGTCAGTGTAGAAGAAATATTTCAAGAAATAATCTGACTTCACTTATATTGTCCAACTTTTCTTGTGTAAAAAGTTGCGAGTTGTTGTCAAACAAATTTTTTAACAAAATAAAAACATGTTTTCGTAATAAAAATCAAGACCTTTGAGTAGGGTAACTACATGCGACAGATATACAGGGTGTTAGGTAAATGGGTATATGAGCCGACACTAGCCCATGTTAACATGGGCATATAAATGGTATGGTGAAGTCAGAAAATTAATATCTTCATTTCAATTATTTTAATTTTCTTACAAATCGGATATTATAAAATTTATTTTGTGTGAAAATTTAAAAAATTAAAATGATGATATCAAATTTCTGACTTCACCATACCATTTATATGCCCGTGCTAACATGGGCTAGTGTCGGCTCATATACCCATTTACCTAACACCCTGTAGAAATTAACGAATTTTGTGATGTGAAAATGTATGACGAATACTCAGCGCACCACGGCAGGCTTCGAACGAGCGTTCGTGGAACGTTTTGTAAGGCTTTTGACAATGTAATTAGCACATTTCCGGCAAATGCTCTAAAATAGAGTAGAATGTCGTATTAATGCAATGGTATTTGCATCCGGTGCATTTCAGAGGGCACCTTAGTGGTCCCCGTTCATTTAGGTCAGAACAAAAAACAAGGTTGAAACATTCGTCGAGTATTGTTTATTTGTTAACATCCTTTTCAACCATGGGAAATACTCGTAACAAGTCTGACAGTGACTCTTAACAAAAATTTAAGATCTCTCGTCTTAAGATAAGGGGTCATCCATAAAGTACGTCACACGTAAAGTGGGGGGAGGGGGTCGACAAAGTGTGACATGGTGTGACAAGGGGTGGGAGGGGTCTTAAGTTTCGTGACATCACATTTCAATTGTTTTAAATATTTGATATTATGTTGATTTCATAAAAAAATACTTAATTTAAATGGAAATAAAACTAATTTCGGAACTGCTGTTTTAATTTAATAATTTTTCGATGTAAAATTGCAAAACATGTGACGTCACACTAGGGAGGNGTTTTAATTTAATAATTTTTCGATGTAAAATTGCAAAACATGTGACGTCACACTAGGGAGGGGGGGTCTCAGAAATGTGACCACCTGTGACAAGGACGGGGGGGGGGGGGGCCAAAAAATAATGAAATTCGTGTGACGTACTTTATGGATGGCCCCTAAGGCATTTAAGATCTCTCACTTTAAGATAAGGCATCTCTCGTCTTAAGATAAGGCATTTAAGATTTCTCGCTTTAAGATAAGGTAAGGCATCTTAAAGGCATGTAAACATCGCCGCTAGTTCTCGCCCCAAGGCTTCATGTAGACAGAAGAAGCTCTAACTTCCTAACAACATTTTGATCGACATGTCTGTATCCGCCTCTTCACAACAAAAGGAAATAAAAGATAAAAGCCCGTATTTAAAATAACATTACATACAAGATTTAGGCTGAGTTTATTTATTTATTTATTTATGTAAGGCTCACAAAACAAGTTACAGTCATATTCAGGCACAGATATATTCCATAGATTAATCTAAACCGCAACTCTAAACATGTGTGCACAGAATGAATTGAAAATGATGAAATAAAGAGGGTAAGTAGTGTTAGTTTAACTTATTTTATGCTTAGTATTTAATGTAAAGTTGCACTAACTTTGATCGGAACTATAACCGGTGTTTTTGTATGGAGTTTGACATATTTTTGAGGTTTTTTAAAGTTAAAATAAGATGGTGCAACTCAGCCTTAATGCTTGGCTGTAAATTCAGACGTGAGCTTCATTTCATAATATCTAAGAAATCGGCACCAGCACTGACGCAAACTTTAAAGTCAACGCAACGCCTACTCGCATACGTTTGCTGGCGACTCTTTTCGGTCAAACTACGTTTCGTTTGAGTTCCGATCGGAAAACGGTTCACGCAATTAACTGATAAGTTGAAAACGAGTAGTGCGTAGGCTGAAAACTCCTCAAAACGTCAAAAGGATCGTAGCTCAAATATGAACAGAATATTAGCAATTTATTTATAGTCGAAAAGAGGTCTTGAAAATAAAATGTAAGAGATCTTAAAAACAATGTTATTTTTTGTATGAAAATTGAACTTTATTACCTACATGTTTTTTATGTAATTGGCTGCTATAAATATTGTCTTGTGTCAATTTCCCACAGAAATGTTACATGCATACTTGTTCATAATGATTAAGTTAAGTATTAATACAAGTAAAGTTACTGATTAAGATAACGTAAATAAATTTTCTCATAGTTTAACTACCGTTGAAGTGTAAATAAAACCGGGAAACCGGTTTATCCGCCATCAAGCGGAGACCAGACTCCCAAATAATCGGGCGACTCGATTACGGCGCTGATACGATTACGACTGTTCACGGAAAACAACGTTACGCGAAAACAGCTTTTACGAGTACCTACGATATTTATATACATCATCAATTCGTGAAGGCTTCTAGTGGCCAATTAAATACGTCTCAAGTGGAAAAAAAACGAAAAAATCTAAGAATACCTCTTAACTGATACAAAAACAACGCACTCGAAAAAACATTTGCTATTACACAATATAAGTTACTGCTTTCTGGAAAATCCCCAAAAATATTATGAGCTTTAACACAATATTGTTACTGCTTTCTAAAAAAAATCAACTGCGTAAATAACCAGTAACAAAGTTCAAATGAACAATTGTTCAACTTTACTAAGTTACAAATTGTTTCTTATTTTGTACAAGTTCCCTTTATTCAAAGTTGAGTGTTTAAAAATAAAAATAGGTGAGTTGTCCATTCATTCATGTAACAATTCTATTGAGTTTGTTCGTTATAATTTGAACGTTAGTAATAGGTACATTAAAGTTCAATGTTCACTAATCCTGTAATTATTAAGTCTCAAGTTCATGAGCATAGGGCGGTGTTGTGTCGCCCCCATCGAATTCGACGGCCGAACTGTGGCCGAACCTTGAGCCGTTCGCCACGTCGCCTATGGGATAAAACTATCTTGCAGCCAAACAAGCCGACTGCTATTGACAACGGCCGCCCAATTCTCGGGGGATTCGAATATCCAATCTGTGACTGCAAAGTGAAACAACGTTGCGATCGCCTAGGCCCTAGACAGACATCTGGTTGCGTGGATTTGCGTCATCTTGTGTGCTTTTGTTTGCAGCTTCTCCGGCTTAGATAACGATCTGTGACTGTGACAGATATTGTGATTTATTAATTTTTTATGACATATTACACATACTGTCCCAGAATTGAACGATAAACCGGCGCCGTGGTGGACATGGTCATGACCACTGTAGGAAAAATAAGAAAAAAAAAATTATTTTTCTTATTTTTCCTAAAGTAGTCATGACTACGGCGCTGGCTTAACGTTGAATTTTACACGGTGTATATTTTTTACAGTATCTTTTTGAAATAATTTATTTTTAAATCATTTGGAAACGTCAAGCCAGTTACAAAGAGGCACAGCCCTCTGTTTGCCAGTATCTACACACAACACTCACTGGCAGACAGAATATCCGCCAACCATGACTTTCTTAGCCTGAGTTGCAGAACTTCACTTTAACCGTAACTTTAACAATAACCGGTGTTTTTATATTGAGTTTGACTGATTTTTGACGTTTATTTATAGTTAAATTAAAATGGTGCAACCCAGTCTTAAGACAAGATTGTGTCCAGAGAACAGATGTCGTCCAATAAGTATATGCTTGAGTAGAAGATAAGTACACTCTAACAGGAAATCTCAATTCAGACAACGAGCCTATGTGTTTGACGATAGACTACAAACTTTGATCAACAATTTTGCACAAAAACGTGTAAAATTGCAGAATGTCAACTGTGTGACGGTTATGATTTAATTGAAATCTGCTCTTACCCGAGAAAAAATGGAGCCGAAAGAGCAAGCGTCACCAAAATGTATCGATGTATCTATGAGCGAATATCTATCGAATGTAAATACGGCGGGTG